GGTGCGAAGCGCATGTACCAGGCCACGGCCACGGCCACAGCCACAGCCAGTTACATTCGGCCAGTAATACAGTAAGGTGTTCGCACTTCAAGGATTATTAGGTGTTTCCCCCCATCCTAACCCAATCGCGCCCACGCCCCAGCATCCCTGCCCCCTTTAATTTATCCAAGTCCATCTACCGTCGATGCTAGTGCGGAAACTTTGGCATGCCTGGAGCGGAATGCCAACCGATGGATGGATCTCACCCTCTTCCGGACTTCGTCGTATTTGGTCGTGTTGCCGTTCGCCTTATGTGGAGGTACGCTTCTCCTTGCCAAACGTCACTGTTCTCCAAGTACCTTTCTGCTGTGGGGTCTTAGCACAGGTACATAGCACATCGTAACCACGGTTGTTATACCAACACACGCGACGGAAGAGCCAAACTCCCTTTTCCCCGAATCTTATCGCAATCAAACTTCAGGATATTCCCCCTAGGAAACAAGAAAAGAACAGGACGAATTGCATATCCTGCCTTCGGCGCTGTTGGGACTTGATGTATTAGTCGAGGTCGCCGAACAACTAAATGAGCCCCTCCGATGTGCCTCGGCCATGGGTGGTTTTCTGCTGTTGGTTCAAGCACCGCTTGTTGCCGAAAAAGGGTTCACTTTGCCTTACACGAAGAGACTGGCCGTTGTGATGTCTCGACTTATAACAAGAACGGCTGCTATGATGACAAGTAATGATATAGCCGCAATCATGGACTCGCATCATCTTGTCTGGGATGATTCCTATTGTAGGAACATCCATGCATGTCTCGCGGGTAAATGCGAGTTTACCTGGAGCATACGAGTAACTGGTGGTGATGGCGAGTCCTTGTCGCATGGCGGAAAGAATGGGCGCAAACCGCGGATCCTGGATAACAGCGAGAGACTCTCGCGAGTCCCCTGGCATCCCTACAAACCACATGCAGCCAGCATTGACGTAAACAGCCTTGTGAGCCCTGGCTGAGCGCGTTGATGCTCATCAAAACACAACCTCTGTGCTCCGTCATGATGCCTCGGGTAGGTACATGTAGCGTATAGTAGCATACAGATTTGCGTGCGTGCGTGCGATATTCCGTCCACTGATTCCGCGCTTTGGGACTGCACCAGACGAATTACCGGATTGGGAATGCACGTCATTCTCCGTTGGAGGTCCATCTCGTGGGCCCCCTCCTCTCAAGTCCCGCTCCGGGCCTGGTCCAATATCCCACCCAGCGTTGGAGCCTCTTCTGTGTAATCCCGCCAGCGATCCCTCTGGCGCCATGGTTCTGTATCTTGCCTGATCCGTTGCTTGACCGGATTGCCGTTGGGTCCGAAACGACGCTGCGGAAAAATACAAGCCGGAGGGCAATTTATTCGACAAGCAGCGATCGCTGGCTATGAGCGCCGCACCCGTCGGAGCTGTTCCCCAAGGTACACGGACAATCCTGGACATACACACACTGTACGTGCCAGAACACCGGTGTCAAAAAAAAATGCTGTTTATAGAGACTGGCACATCTCGTTCTCCCTGCCCTTCAATTCCTGCTTTAGGCTTTGCTGCCTTGTCCTTGCCCTCTGCCCGGTCTATCGTGTTGCTAAAAATGTCCAGAAATAGCAGTGAGTCGGTGGTTGAGCGGCACAATGCACGATTGGATAGGTTTCACAGAGAATACGGCATGAGTGCATGGCGGGTGAGACCATCGTCTACACGGTACGGTACACGGTACGGTACATGGTGTCAGACCCTGGTCCGTCCATGACTTCTTTAACCCACTATCGAAGCTCCCAGTTGTTGTGCTACCTCGTACCTACATAGACATTGACGTGCTAACAACGAGCTCCGTCTGCCTACGGAGCACAGTCTGGGACAATGCTAGGATGGTTCTTACTGGAAGGCGCACCATCGCACCGCATTCGAACAGACTTCTAACAGTCCGCGGGCCTTGTCCTGACATCAAGCGGAGGCTGTTATCCACTCGGCTGTCAGGTGTATAGTGCTCCCACATGTAGTGTGCCAAGTACAAGCAGGTAGGATATAAAGAAACTGCAGTTCGCGGGCTGGGTCGGTCATGGGGTTGAACTCATCTCCACATGCCATCATCTTATCTGCCTTGCCTAGCTCTTTCATCTGTGATTGCCAGATACGAGTACCATGTGGTATCATGGGTATGATCCTGTTTTTTTTCAAGGGGGAAGTGCAATCATTCAAGGAGCTCAAGGGTCGGAGTCGATCCGCTGGGTTGAGAAGCTAGGCGTCCGACACAATACTATAGCGGGCATATCGGATTCTCTCGTTGCCATAGGTCTGAATACGAACCCGTATGTTTCTGTAAAATCTCATCAATCTGGGCAAGACGGGTCCGGGAATGGTAAAGTCCGCTGCGTCTGCTGGCTGCATGCAATGCAGAATGAATCGATTTAGACGAGATGGTTCGTCGACAGATCTAGCAGTAGCTGCTCTGCAGCCCAATGCTTTTCCTGCCTCTCCATCTCCCTGCCCTTCTTCCCCTCCCCTCTCAAAAGGCTGGCAGTGGGCTGTTGAAGCCGGGGCCCCGGAGCGGGATGGCGTTCGAGCCACATGCATCAATGAGCGACTCTGCGTGGTCCGGCGCAAAGCCTCAGCACGCAGGGAGGCCGGAGAACGATGCCATGCCATCTCAGAGGGGATGGGCTCTGCAAGGCGTAGGCTACCGCAGGCAGGCACGGCATCAAGCGCGGACCGCGCCTCTATCTCGCGGCTTCTGGCATCTGTGGGGGCCAAGGGGCAAACATGGGGGAAGTCTTGTGTCGTTCTCGTCTGGTCTGGCCGGGTCTTGTTCTCTCGCCTGAGCACTTTGCACATCCTCATGGCTTCGCTTAGCGGCCGTCTTCCCTTGCTGGCCGTCGTCCGGCACTGCAACACGCGCCCTCGATGGCCTGCGGCACTCCCTAGCTCAGCCCGGAAGACGACGTCTATGCGCTCGCTATCCCGGCGATGGGTGATGGTGATGGGCACTGGGTTCAGCCTCGCACGGAGGCAGAAGCTTCCATAAACAACCTAGAACGAGTGTCATATCATTTCCACGTCCTCAAGTCCACGCTCTGTGTCCAGATCTGTATCAATAATGCTACATACCCTTGTCAAGGCCCCCTCCTCTGCAGAAAACCGCATACTTGGAACTGAGGCTGAGGAAAAGGAATGCCAGCTCACAAGCGATACCCTAGGCTCACACAAGTCCACTACAAGCTACAAGCCCTTTCAAACAGCAATTCCTGCCTGTAAAGAAAAAGAAAACAAGAGCCGTGTATGTGAGTGAGTGTGTAGGTGTGTGTGTCTGTTGAGCTGCCCAACCAGGCCCAGGGGATGACTCCGTATCGCGATACCAGCAGCACCACCCAGCTCTTGCGGGCACAAAAAGTAGCGCGACTTCACCCAAGCTTCTGACAGGACAGGGTGCGATCCTTGGCTGGCACCCGGAGGGCGGTCCAAATCGAAGCCGAGGTGCCCGAATGTGTCTTGAGGCAGGAGCAGGGCTGGGGTTTGGGGTTGATTCCCAGGCATGAGGTTTTGGCGCCAGGCCGCTTTTGGACCCACCAGACCTCATCTCAGAAAAGGCAGGGTCGAGGCGCTGGTACGTACCGGAGCGCCCCACAAGCACCTGCCTGCAGCGAACATGGGTATCGGGCTTTGAGATAATTGCACGCCCCTGCTCGCAGACAACACGCCCCCCCCCCCGAGGCGTGGATCTAGCCGCGGTCCAAAAGCTACATGCAGGCCCGTACCGGCAGCGTTTTCTGCTTCCACGTCCAAGTCCACTTCTTCTCTTCCCAAGCCATCCCATCCCACCAAGCCGGCATCACCACCCCCCTCCTTTCATATGCCTGGTCCTTGCCATGCCGTCCGTCTTGTCGTTCTGCTTCTCGCACTCCCCCCCCTTGTCTCTGCTCGTTCATGGGATACACGCTACATGTACCGTTCGGAGAGGCGGCTGTTGGTGGTCTCTGTCGAGGGGGGCACTGCTAATCGATGATGGCACCCCCCTCGGATGAGGCTGCGTGCCTCTGCCCTATTATGTAGGTACATCCAGATGGGCGAGGCGCTAGCATCAAGTCGACGTACCTGCTCCCGCGGACTCGCATCTTGGTTTGATGGACGATCCGTAACTGGACCCAGTAACCACGATGCAAAGCGGTGCCTATATCTTCTTCGGTAGCCCCCAACATGTCCAACCAAGCCTCTGGTGCCAGACCATCTCCAGCAGACACTTATAGCTTCATCTCCAGCACTACTCCAGACCTTCTTTACTCTAGGAGATCCAATTGTCCGCCAACGACGCTTCACTCGCACACAACGGACCCTCGTTCGCTCCCTCTTACACCACCGCCGTCGCCTCTTCTTGTGACAGGACCACAACTATCTCCTCCCACCACGGCTTCTACCACTCCAGTCTCCTCTTGTTACGTTTTGCGACAACCTCTGCAAGAGACCACAGAAGCACCGCAAAACGCTTCTCTACAGCTTCATCGAACAAGCCGTTGCTTCTGCGCTCTCACTCACGAAACAAGAGCTCACACAGAACACACCACGTCTCTCGCCAAAGGACCGGCGCAAGAACCCCAGGCCTCTGTTACTTTGCGCCGCGTATCACGCTGGTGATCAAGGCTGCGCAAAGCAATCAGTCCAAAGCGCCTCCCGCACCGAACCTACACACAGTCCTCACAATGGCCTCCCTGGCTGAGCAACCCTTCAGCCTGTTCCCCCAGCAGCAGGATGAGTACACCCACTTCGCCGAACCGCCTCACGTCTCCGTCTACTCCTCCGCGCCCATGGATCTGAGCATCCCGGCCGATGCCTACAGCTCATACGTGCAGCGCGCGCCCAGCCAGGAGCTCTACACCAGCCCCAGCACCATTAGCTACGAGTCCTCATTATACACTGCCGACGCCGCGTTCATGAACGGCCCTACGTCGCCCGGCTACGGCGACGAATACCTGCCCTCGTCCAGCCTCTCGTCCGCCTCGGCGCAATCTGCCCCTTCGTCCGCAGTTGGATCTCCGCTGTCAAACCACGGCCAGATTGGCATGGCGACAGACTGCTTCGTGCCGGGCCTCGGTATCCAGCCGGGCATTGCCAACGCAGACTTTGTCGACTTTCCCTTTGGCGCTCAAGGATTGGACGACATGGCCTTTGAGTTTGCCAATATGGTGCACCCCAAGTCCTTTGTCGGTAAGTCTTGTTCTTTTCTTGATTCACTCTCGGCTCTACTGCCTGTCTTCTCGCTTGCTGCCTCTTGCTGCCTCTTGCTGCCTTTTCTGCCTGCCCTCACCGAATTCCGTGTTACTGTGCATCCTTCCTCTCTCTCTTTTTTTTTTTTCCCATCCTTTCTTGTCTCCCCCCCTCCAGCGCAGCGCTCCAAGGTGGCAGCCTGCGCGCCGGGGGGCATTTCCCGTTTGGGCGGCCAATAGCTGTCCTGTCCCGCTGCAGCCATGGCCACCCCCGCCAGATTGCCCCTCGTGTGGCCGCCGGGCTGCTGAGAGGCCCCCGGAACGGTGGAGCCAGCGCTGCAACAGGCACCACAGATGCACTGCATAGCCCGCCAGGCGGTGCCCGAACCCGCTAAGCATGCAGCTGCACTGCGCTGTGCTCGCTGCGCTTGACTGCTGCAGCAGCCGGCGGCCTCTGCTAAGGCCCGTTGCTGGTCACCTCAACACCAAAGGCTTCGGCATCACCGCGGCTGCCGTGCTCCCTGCCGGCCTGCTTTTGGACTTGTTTCTCTTTTATCTTCCGCTTGTTTCCCCCCACTGCATCTCCTCAGCCTCGCGCGTCTCCACCGTCCTGCTTCGTCACATCATTTGTTTCTTCCCGCCTTCCCTGGCAAGCCATTACACACATGCGAGTGCAACCCGCCTCTGGTTGGCTGTATGGCTGAGACAAGGAACCTGGTTGGTTCACCGTCTCGGCTGACTCTGGCCCGCTAAGAGCGACGGCGAGCCGAGGATCACCTCAGCCAGCCATCGCCGGAAACCTCTTATTACCTGGCCTCCCTTGACTCGCTGCAACGGCGCCGCTCGTCTTTTGTCATTGGATCTTTCTACGTCCGCTTGCCCGCTTATCACGCTGCTTACTGACGACTGACTTGCGCGAATAGATCCTTCTCTTATCCATCCGGAAATCTCCAGGCCGCCAATGGCGATCTCGTCGTATGAGACGCACCACTACCAGCCCGCCGCTCCTCATTATCCCGCCTCTCCCTCCGCCATCTCTTCCTCCTCTCCCCAGCCGCATATGATTCGCACGAGCAGCTCCTCCCCGTACCTGCAGAACGGCCCCTTCCAGCCAGCCACAACCGCCTACTCCAACAGCCCGTATGCAACCTCGACCGCCATGGCCCCCGGCGCTGGCATTGGAGCTCGCCGCATGAGCATGGGCAAGACGGGCGGGAGCAGCTTCATCTCGCCCGTGTCCGCCGACTACCCCAGCGGCGACGAGATCAAGGAGAAGCACATGTGCACGTACCCCGAGTGTGGCAAGACCTTCAAGGACCTCAAGGCGCACATGCTCACCCACCAGACTGAGCGACCCGAGAAGTGCCCCATCATGACGTGCGAATACCACGTCAAAGGGTTTGCCCGCAAGTATGACAAGAACCGCCACACCCTGACACACTACAAGGGCACCATGGTCTGCGGCTTCTGTCCTGGCTCTGGCTCCGCGGCCGAGAAGTCGTTCAACCGCGCGGACGTCTTCAAGAGGCACTTGACCGCCGTCCACGGTGTTGAGCAGACTCCTCCCAACAGCCGAAGGAGGGCTTCCGGCGCTGTCGCGCCCAAGACGCTCGCCGGCTACGCCCCCGATGCCACCGGCAAGTGCAGCACCTGCTCGCAGACCTTCACCAACGCCCAAGACTTTTACGAGCACTTGGACGACTGTGTGCTGCGCATTGTTCAGCAGGAGGACCCGGCCGAGGCTATCAACGCAAAGCGCCTGGCTGAGGTTGCCGATGACAAGGACGTTCAGCAGACTCTGGAGAAGAACAACCTCCCCGCTACCACTGAGACCTCCATGGCCGAAGACGAGGACGAGGATGAGGACATGGAGGAGGACGAGACAGATGATGTCTCCAAGCTGACCTACTCTCCCATGAAGAAGAAGAACAACAACCTCAACCGCGTGTCCAAGTCCCGCGGCATCACTCACTCCCGAGGTGGCGTTCAGCTGTCTGCCAAGTCGCGAGGCCGCAACAAGCGCCGCGACTACCCTTCTTCTTGGGGCTTCAACAAGGGACAGATGACGATGAAAAAGCGCGTGGTGGCCGTCTTTGACGGTCCCCGACGTCTTGCCAAGGATGACATGATGCTGTCGACCGACCACGAGGTCCGCATCAAGCTGTCCGATGGCAAGTCGTACGTGACGGATCTCGACGTCCAGACCCTGAAGCGTGCCGAGGGCTTCCACAATGCTTCGGAGAGTGAGAAGGGCCCCTGGCTGTCTGACGACCCCACCGAGGAGCAGGTCAAGGAGATGCAGCGGCTGCTGGACACTGGTGCTTCTGAGTTGTAAAGAAGCTCGAATCGAATCTTTTTATGGACACTACTTCGTCACATGTCTCTTTTTCTCAAGCATGGCAAAGCGGCGCATGGGATCTCTACTGGGGCCTGGGTATCTGGGTGTTCTTGAATGGGAAACGTTATTACTTGGGAAGAAGCGGGTAATTTTTGGATTTGATACCCTGTTTGATATTACTACATGTGTTGGGCAATGATGGCGCAGACGGGTTGATTGAATTGGGCGCTGGGCGGATTCGAACACCGACAGGTGCTCATATGTATATGCATCTTATCTCTCTTGGGTCACCAGGACATGAAGCTTGCTTTGGACGGCAGCTCATCTCTGCCGCCTGGCAAGGCGGTCCTGTATAGCTATCATTTCATTTGTTGCAGGAGCTTGGAGGGATGGGGGATATCTCCTTTGTGTTATGAGGCATGGACATGTCATGACAAGATGGCTTGTTATGTTAATACTCTTATTGTCATCCGACATGAAACGATTAAAAAAAAAACACATTGAAGATGACCATTTGCAAATAATGAGTGACTTGGACTGAAATTGTTTGAGATGGAGGTATATATTTGTGTCGATATTGACTGGACTTGTTTTCGCAAGAGTGTCGCCATAAGACGCAAGTTGAGTGAGTTTGTGTGAAGGTGGGTGGAGGGGCATGGGCAAAAATCTTTCACCCCACCTTTGATATCGCTCTTTTCAACCACAAGTCCAACATTGCGCTTCGAATGGGCAGTTGATAGTGATTTCCAAACTTTGGGGACAAGGAAGAACACATTGTTCTCTGCTTTTAAACAATCTTCTGATTCATTCTGACGGACAGCGAACTGACCTTTGTAGAAGCTTGGAAAGAGACTTGGTGTGCTATAGTCGGGGCTCTCTTGAAATCTGAGGGGTTCTTCTTCTAGGAACGACGTTGAGACATCATCTGGGCATATTCCGGCTTGCATTGCGATCGGAGAGAAGAAGCAAGAAGGGCTACTTGACTGCTCTTTGGGTTTTGAAGAATTTGAAAACCCCGGACGGAGATACGAATCGCCTCGACCTTCGTTGAAGGGAACCGAAGACACACAAAGACGCGAATCTCATCTCATCACATCACATCTTACCTACCCAACAAAAAACACACACACACACAACAACCAAACGGAAAGGAGTTTGAACGCAATGGCAACGCTCACATCCCGCATCTCCCTCCAGGGCGACGAGCCCGACGGCCCGGAAGACTACCTCTCGACCTCGCTCGGCGTCATCTTCCCCGACGACATCGTCAACCAGCACGGCGACGCAGAGCACTCCCTCGTCTACGCGTCCCCCAAGCTCCCCAAGCCGCTGCTCATCGAGCTCGCCGACCCGGAGGGCGAGACGGACAGGAGGCTGTTTAGTCACTACCTGTGGAACGCCTCTCTGCTCCTCGCCGAGCTCATTGAGCGAGATTCCCTGGACAACGATGCAGCTGCTGATAGCAGTGAAGAAGAAGAAAAAGAAAAGGATGAGGGCTTGGGCAAGGGAATCAGTTTCGATACGAGGGGTCTGCACACCCTTGAGCTCGGGGCGGGAACGGCGCTGCCTAGTATGATGGCCGGGCTGCTCGGCGCGGCGAGCGTCGTCGTGACGGACTATCCCGCCCCGGCGGTCATCAAGACGCTGCGCGCAAACGTCGCGCGCAACATTAAGCCTGAGCTTGCGCCCGTAGGCAAAGAGAGTCTTGTGACGAAGGAGGTGCTTGTGGAGGGCCACGAATGGGGTGTTTTCGAGGCCCCTCCTCCTCCTCCCCCCCCTCCCGCTTCTTCAACTACGTCTTCAACAACAACAACAGCAACAGAGCAAGTGTCATCAGAAACACAGACGACTTCCGAACCTCAGCCTTTTTCAAAGTCAGAAACGACGACAGCAACAACGACAGCAGCGCAGGCTTCAGAGGCAAAGAACCTGGCGTTCCCAGCTTCGCACAAGCACGCTTCAGACCGCCTCTTCGTGGCAGACTGCCTCTGGATGCCCTGGCAGCACGCCAACCTGCGCCGCTCCATCAACCACTTCCTCAAGAGGGACGCGTCGGCACGGGCGTGGGTCATTGCGGGCTTCCACACGGGGAGGCCCAAGATGGCGGGCTTCTTCGACGCGGAGGCGCTGCGCGAGGAGGGCGGCGTTGAGGTTGAGAGGATGTGGGAGCGGGATTGCGACGGCGTCGAGAGGGAGTGGGATCGGGAGCGCGAGGATGACATTACGGAGAGGAAGAGGTGGCTTGTTGTTGCGGTGTTGAAGAGGTGTGAGGACATGGTGGATGGGTGAAGGGCGTTGGTAGCGATGGGAGGGAGGGTTTGTCAGTTTAAAGGGTGGTTTTGACGAGTAGAGGTAACTGGGCTTTATTTACATCTTGCGTCGGTTCTGGCTGATACATCTTATGCTGCTACATACACTGAGACCTGTCCAAACATGTACTTTACACTGTCCCCCAAGCAGACGCCTTGTTGAAACCGCACCGCTACTTTAGTCTTCAAGCACACGCCCCAAGGCCTGTCCCATCTTCACCTTCTGCCCCTTCTGAACCGCCCACTCCCACCCCTTCTTCACCTGTCCGTCGACAGTCTCCACCGTCGCCGGCGCCTCAAACACCAACACAATGGTGCTGCCGAGCTGGAAGCCGCCCATCTCCTCGCCCCTCCTCAGCGCGTGGCCGTGCAGCACCGGGCTGGCGCCTTCGTATGTCGCCTCCGCGAAGCCGAGGTACGGCTCGCCGCGCTTGGCCGCTTCCTCGGCGGCAAGGTCGGCGGCGGTGTCCGTGGTGAGGCTGTTGGTGCGGAGCTCGCGGTCAAAGTTGATCTTAATGGAGCCGACGTTGGTGGCGCCCACGGGGACGTAGCTGAAGAAGCCCCAGCGCCAACGGCCAAGCAGGACGACGCGCTCGTTCAGAGTGAAGAGACCGGGCAGGGTGCGCTGCAGGTAGGGCGAGACGCTGAAGAGCTCGCCCGCAAAGTGGCGTCTGCTCTCGACGACCCAGTTTGTGGGCGAGTGGAAGCGATGGTAGTCTCCGGGCGCCAGGTAGATGACGGCATAGTACAGCGCCGTGGTCTTGTCGGGAGAGAGCAGATCGTACCACGGCTTCTCGCCCAGAGCGAGCTCGGCGCGGACTTCGGAGACGGCGCGGGGAGAGGAAGGCGTGACAGATTCATCGGTTACGGGGTGCGCCGGGTGGGCGTCTTTAGGCCCCGTCATGAGGTCGGGAAGCGTGTATGAGATGCCGTTGACTCTGGCAAACTCCTCCTCCTGCTTGATGATTTCCTCATCGCTAGCAGGTGGGCTTAGGCTCCGCCGTCGCTCCGAGTTTTGATCAGATAGTCCGCTGTAGATGCTGGAGGCGGGCGTGTGTTTTCCCAGTAGCGCATCGATGCTGTACGTCATGCCTTTGACCTGTTCAATGTCGCCGCTTTGGATCTGGCCATACTGCAAGACCTTGCCGTCGGACGGGCAAAGGAGCACATGAGGGTCGGGGTCTAGTGGACGGGCACCAGGTTTGAGAGTTCGGTAGAAGAAGGCTGCGAGGTTGGGATACACGTGAAGATCGGGTTCGGACACCTCGTCGAGGCTATAATCGAAGTCAGACAAGTGAGAGATGCTGCATCATCGGTGAAACCCACTTCACACCAAAAATGAACGAGTATAGCTTGAAGCCGGGTACACGAAGGTAGTACGGGATTGTCAGTTCGTTAAATTTGCCCCAAAGACGAGAAATGGCCTTGAGCGGCAGCGTCGACATGACCTGGACTTGCCTAGACACGATCCGTTAGATCAAGATTCCATCAGGGAAGCTGTCCGTTTTCCATCAAGTGGGGATGGAAATGGCAGTAGGAGACTTACCATGGTCCATCGGGGCGCACTTTTGGCCGAGGCTTTGGTGATATGATTCCCTCGTCCTCTTGTCGTTGCCTTTCCCTCTCCCTAGAGGAGACCTTGTAGAACTGCACCAGCCCCAAGAAGCCGATGCCCAGGCCAACGGGGATCTGATACCATGTAATCTTGCTGTTGCGCAGCGCTTCGCCGAGGCGCTGTGAGAACTTGGGGCGTTTGCCGGAGTTTTGCGACGAAAAGCAGCGTTGCGAGGAAGGAATACGTCGAAGAGACATCGGATTGGAAGCCATTGGGCCCGTCTGGCCAGCAGGGGCTCGACCAGCGCATCTCGCGCGCAAACCCGTCGTCAATGGATGCTGGCAGGCTCTTCCTCCCCCACGGCCGTACAGCACGCGGCCGGAGCCGATTCCCAGCGCCGGCATGATGAGCGATGCGATGCGCCTGTGACCGAAGCGTTTACACTTGGCGACGAGGCTCAATTAGGCGGTTTCGACAGACATTGATTGGATTGATGAAGGCGCAAGCGAGGAATATGAGGCGCCCGGAGGGTTCGTGATGGGAGCACTTTTGGAGGTTGCAAAATGACGTATGGAGGAGCATGGCGGTTGTGAGCAGTGGCCGGCAGAAACAATTGCCGAGGCCGAAGACGGATGGATGTGGGCGGATTTTTGATCCACTGATCTGGAGCTGATGTGTGACAGCATGAAGCAGTTGGCGGGCAGTGGACACGATCAGCGGGCAGTCTGCAGTCAATTATGATGGAGTTTGATGATGTGCAGAAAGGGGATGAAGAGGCTTGATTCCAAATCGTGAAGGTTTCGCAAGGTTTGTCTATGTACCTTAGCAGAATGTACAGGTAGACTTGTTTGTTGGCACTTGGTAGATAGATGTACAGGAGCCAAGGCTGTATAAGAGGTCACTGCGAGAAGGGGTCCTTTGTGTGCCTTGAGATTGGTAGCCATGAGACCATATGCCTCGCTTATATATACAACGCATTGCACCGCTCGTAATTGAAAGAGACACTGAACAAATGTTAGGAGGCTGTCATGACAAGCCTCAAGTCTTACAGCCAAATGATGAACTACTCAGTGCCAGGCAAGCTTGGTATAGATCAGTAGTAGAGGATCGAGACTGACAATACCGAGTAAATACCTTATCCAGGACCACAGGTTAAGGGGGTTTCGGATCTGACGCCATAAAGAGTACCTGAGCCTCGGCAAGCCAGCACCACAAGCAGCAAGTACTAACGTATCAACACAAAAAGTGCCTCTCAGGGACAATGTGGCTCCTTCCTTGTCTTGTGCATCCAAGAGGTCCCAAAAGTGACACCCTCCAAGCCTGCATGGCGCTAAACCACATACGGCAATCCCTCAGGTCCCAAAGTGCTCGCGCAACTGGCAGGTGCGGTGATGCGGTACGTACTCCTGCCGACCGACTCGATTGGCAATCTGTCAGCTCAGTCCCGACTTCTAGAAGCTCTCAACCCGATTTCCGTCCTGTCGCTCTTCTCTCTTCTCTCTCTCTCCCTCTCACTCTGCCTCTCTGTCTCTCTGTCTGTGCATCTCCCTTGGAACTGAAGCTCTCGGCCTTCCACTCCTTTTTTGCCTTCTTCTCTCCCTGCCCCGCCGCTCTGCTTTGCCCTTGTCGCCCTCTTTGCCCGCCTAGCACGTATTTGTCCCGTACTCGGCCTCACCTCTGACAGGCGGTATCGAATATCTGGCACGACTTGCCCTCTCGCCAGGTTGCTGCGCGTGCGCTTCTGTTCGCAACGCATCACAAAGAGTCGCCCTTGAGCACGATTGCACATGACACAAGCGCACAGCTCCTCATAACCGGCGCCGTCATCTGCTGCTCCACTATCAGCAACGCGACACCTTAGGTCGACAGCGCTGCTCCGCCATATCGAGACCGCCTTTATCGCCCTGTAGCATGCCAGCTGTCTCCCGAATATGGCTTCGGAGCTGCTCAACCACGCCGCCCATGGGGCAGACGCGGCCCTGTCTGAACAGCCCGTCGTCAACCTCCAGGTCGTGTCGCCGTCAGTAGGCGTTAGCCGCCCGCTGCTGTTCCCTGGCCTTCCGGCTGCTACCACCGTCAAGCAGCTCAAGGAGAGGATTCGCCAGTCGCTCCCCCTGCGACCGTCTGACGAGCACCAGCGACTCATCTACCGCGGCCGAGCGCTTGTGCGCGATGCCGACAGTCTGCAAGACGTCTTTGGCGCCGAAGCTGTGAGTTGTACTGTTCAAGAGACCTATTGAAGTCAGATGAAGGAGCACTAACACCTCGCTCGCTACTACAGATTCGGAGCCCCGACCAGCAAACGATCCATCTTGTCCTTAGAGACACTGCCGACAACGTGTCCTCCTCGACTCCGCCTTTCTTGTCCAGCACCCAGAGCCCGGCTCTGGGAGCACAGTCCGCCAACTCCCAGCGACAGACGCCGCCGCATGCCGCCTTTATGGGGCCGCCTCCGCCACCGGGCATGACAAGGAGATCGGTGCTGCAGCCGACGCCAACTGCGAATCTGGCCCAACCTCGCATGCCGTCGCCGGCCCGTCCCCACTCACCAGCTCACACTCCTGAACAGGCGGCAGCTTTCCAGCAGCAGCATCAGAGCATGACACAATGGTTGACGCAAATTCAGAGGGAAGCCATGGCTCGCATGGTCAGCCAGAACCAGCGCGGGAGAGCTCACATGGGCATGCGTGGCGTAGGCGACACTGCACCTGTGAATCATGGGGGATACGGTTCTGACAATAGCGGGCGGGCCAGCCCGGCGCCCACGCATACCTTCTACCGCGAGACCGTGGGACCCAACGGTCATGGCTTCCATGTCGAGACCATTGTTCGGAATGGGGCGGGTGCCGCTCCAGCGACATCTGCGCCGCAACACGGCGGACTGACTCCCACCGAAGTCCACAATATCCTGCGCGGGGCGGATACGAACCAGGCGCCCATGTCCGTGGCAAACGCGCTTCACCAAAACGGCTTGCGCCGAAGCGCCTCCAGCGCCTCGCTTCACAATCGCGCACTCAACCAGCCGGGAATCACCACCTCGGTCTTTGCCAACAGCGGCTCTCGCGCCAGCAGTGGTCGAGGCACGCCGGATCTAGGATTGCGATCGGTATCTGGCACGTTGAATCCTGCCGTTGCCTCCGCGCCCTCACTCACCCCGTCTCACCCGCGGCAAGGAGTCGAGGTGTACATTCTTTCGTCTCCCGAGGGACCCCGGGCCCTCCTTTTCAACGGTGCCGTGGCAGAGGCCTATTATACCCCCAGAGTGTATATGCCACCAGCCCATCATCAGCTCCGAAATCGGGCCAGCTTCCCAAACCTGGTCCATGGAATGCCAGTCCATGGGATGCCGGTCCATGGGATGCCGGTACATGTGAGAGACAACCTTCTTTCAACTCGCACCATGAGGCAGCCCACCCACGGCCACCACGCCTCAGCCGAACAACAGCAACCGCAGCAGCAGCAGCAGCAACAGGCGCCACAACCACGGCAGCAGCCACAGCAACGACAGCAAGACCAGCAACCACGAATAGTCCCTTTACACGCTGGCAACCCTCCGGCAATCGGGCTGCCGCAGTTGGTGATGCAGCTGGCTCCCCACCTTTGGCTCCTGATACGCCTTGCGTTGTTTGTATGGTTCTTTACATCTCCCAACGCTAGCTGGTCGAGATGGTTGACGATAGTTGCTCTTGCGCTGTTCGTCTTCATCCTTAGCACTGGCTTGTTGGCCGGCGTTGCTGAGCAGGCATGGCGACCACTGGGACGGCATCTCGAGCACGTCTTTCCTGCTATGGACCCTGGGCATCTCGGAGGACAAGGAGCAGCTGCTGGACGCGATGGCGCCCCTGAAGCGGACCAGAATGCAACACCTGACCCTGCCCAGATGGCCGCCCGGCTGGTTGCGGAGCGTCGAGGTCAAGAATCCTGGATTGCCGGGCAGCTAAGGCGACTGGAGCGAGCTGGCCTCCTCTTCCTTGCCAGCATTGCGCCTGGCGTTGCAGAACGACACATTGCCAACCTGGAAGCCGAGGCCAGAGCCCAAGAAGCTAGACGCCGAGAGGCCGAAGCCGCGGCGGCAGCAGCAGCAGCAGCAGCAGCAGCAACAGCGGCCGCTGCTGAAAGTAGTGCCAATCAGGAGAGCGAAACTGTGCCTGAGACGAATGGTGAGCTGCCGCAGCAGCAAACCGGAGACCCATATGTGCAGGACAGTCATCACAACATGGAGAGGGATGGGGCTGTTCGAGAAGAAGTCACCGCTGCATGAAAGTATATGGATGACGCCAGTTTTTGAAATCGCACCAGGAGAAAGAAGCATTCAAGGAGGGACAAAAGACACGGCAGGTTATATCTTGTTATTTAATTTAGCGATTGTAGGAATTTGCTAGGAGTAGGGCGTTGAAACCAGTGCTTCTCACACGAAGCCCTCGAATCCGAAGACTAGAGAAGAGAAAAAGGAGACATGATTTCAAGATTGACGAGGAGAGAAACTACCTAGGGAGATGAGTCGCAAAAGGCGTGTAGGCACATGCCTAGTATGTAACTTGTGTATCCATAACAACAGATATGAGCCTATATTCGGCGGGAAAGATACTGCCATTGTACGGCATGTCGCGATTTTGGTCTGTAGCTGATGCTTCTCGACATGCTAATGAATCTAGATAACTCAAGCCGATACCCCACCTCCTAGGTAGGTTGTGCCTTAGGTAATGTAATGTAACCGATCTGAGGCTTGATAGCTCCTTAGTTGATGTGTAGGTACGTACTTGTGGGCTGCCTGCGCGGACCTCTTATCTTATCAGCGCTTCAACATGCCCAAGGCAAGCCGAGCTGTCGTCACAAACCTGCCTTGTTCAACCAAGGTACCTTCAGTACTTGCTCCATAAGCACCTCCAACTTCTGGACAAGTCTCGTCCATTTTCTGATTCCTCCCTGATACTCACCTTTATCTAGACCAGCCCTGGTATCTTGAGGCACATAGACTGACATCATGAGTGGTGGTTGGAACACGAGTAAGCCATGGCCTCGGCAATTCGACCTGCAGCTTCTCGGAAACTGACGATATCTTCCTTCTTCCTCCTGCAGTCGAGTCCGATGCGGTATGTCCATTCCCTCTGACACAACTTACAACACCGCGCTGTACACAAAACCAGCTAACAGAAACATCGTCCTCATAAAATAGGGCGTCTTCACATCCCTCATTGAAAACCTGGGCGTCAAAAACGTGCAATTCGAAGAACTCCTCACCCTCGACCCCTCGGAGCTGCTCGCCCTCCAGCCCCTCTACGGCGTCATCTTCCTCTTCAAGTACCCGACAGACGGGCCGTACGCCAGCGCCTCCGGCCCGCAAGACGGCGTCTTTGACCACGACGCCGCGGAGCGCATCTTCTTCGCCGCGCAGACGATCCAGAACGCGTGCGCCACGCAGGCCCTCCTCAGCGTGCTGCTCAACAAGGATGGCGAGGACGGCGTGGACATTGGCCCACAGATGAAGGACTTCCGCGACTTCACCATGGTGCTGCCGCCCGAGTTCCGGGGCGAGGCGCTGAGCAACTCGGATCTCATCCGGGAGGTGCACAACGGGTTCGCGCGCAGCAGCCCCTTTGCCGACGAGACGGCGCGGCATGGCGAGCCCTCCGAGGACGTATTCCACTTCATTGCGTACACGCCCATTGACGGGACGCTGTACGAGCTTGACGGCCTGCAGCCGGCGCCGATATCCCACGGGCCGTGCACGCCCGACGAGTTCCCCATCAAGGTCGTTGACGTGCTGCAGCGCCGCATCGCGCGCTATGACGAGGCGGAGATCCGGTTCAACCTGCTGGCCATGTGCCGGGACCTGCGGATCCGCGCGAGGGAGTTTGGCGACGAGGAGTTGCTGGAGAGGGAGAACCGGAAGCGCAGCGACTGGGCGTTTGAGAATGCGCTGAGGAGGCATAACTTCGTGGGCTTCGCGGGCGAGGTGCTGAAGAAGGTGGTGGAGAAGAAGCTCGAGCAGGGAGGCGACGAGGCGGTGGACAAGTGGGTGGGTGAGAGTCTTGAGAGGAGGAGGGCGGCGGAAAAGGCCTTGGGGGGGAGGGGTGGTGGTGGAGGAGGAGATGTTGATATGAGTGGGTGAAAGAGACAAAGGGGAGGGGGGGCTACGTAGATGAGGTATGAAAGGTGTTGATTGACTCTGCGCGATGAAGGATAGAGATTATATACCCTGAGGCTTTTTATATCATGCACCTGAAGCCTGCTGCATTGTCTGTGTGCTGTTGGTCTGCTCGAGAGGATACTTAGGACAGCGATGCGATACGACATGAGAGACGTCATGAAGCAAGAGAGAATATCAAGATTTTTCTTCATGGACATGTTTAGAAGTCACAAACTACCTGGGATCTTTCTGATAAACCCAACTAACACATTCGTATAGGCAATATCATGCCCTTTTTATTTTGGCCATGACATTATATATAGGCTAGCGTCGTGTTCCCCTTCCAAGTCATGTCACGACAACACTCAATGCGTATGTTCTCACTAGTCAAACTCACTCAAGCATCCCACTGGGAGCCATGATGGACAAACAAACTCTCCTCGACCTCAGCGAGCAATCCCTCTCAAAGGAGAACCACCCTCGTAGTCATACTCATCACCCACAAAATGCACCCTAGCATGCTCCCGCTCCCGCTCCCGCTCGTGCTCCCTCTCCTCACCATCCTTCCTGCGCGGCGTCTCGCATCCCTGGCGAAGGCTAAACGCCCGCTGGCTCTCCTCCTCGTATCGCTCAGACGAAGAAGTGTTGGTGGCGGCGATATTCTCGTTGCGTTCGTTCATCACCATATCGTCGCGATTACGATCCTCGTCCGAAGAGCGTGATTCGTGACGATGATGGTGCCGGTCGCGGTTTCTTCTCATGGCTCGGACGAACCACGGGGCACGGCCGGAGCCTCGCCAGGTCCAGTATTCCTTGAGGTCGTATTCGCGGGGTTCGATGCGGTTGTTGGAGAAGAAGACGACGAGAGCGATGAGCGTGTTGAGGGTGGTGTAGACAAAGAGGCCTCTGGAACCAGCAAACCGTATTAGTATCAAATGAACCATGTTCTGGGAGAGGAGGAGAAGTCTCACGCGATAAGGCCGTACGCAACGCTGTAGCTAAACGGGATAAAGGTCATGACCACAAACGACGGCAACACATCGCCGATATACCGCCAGTTGACCTGCGTAATCTGCCGTATCATCATGCACCCGACCAAAATGAGCGTGCACCCCGTAGCCCACGGCGGGATAGAAGCAAAGATGGGAGCAAAGAAGATGGAGCCGATGAAGCACAGCCCTGCAACCACGGCCGTGAGTCCGGTCCGGCCACCCTCCGCGATGCCCGCGCCGCTCTCGATAAAGGCCGTCACGGGCGAGCAGCCGAACAGCGCCCCGATCGAGATGAACAGCGCGTCGGTGCAGTATGCAATGGTGGAGCGGGGGAAATCGCCGTCTTTGGGGTTGACGACACCGCAGAAGCGGACCATGGAGTAGAGGGTGGCGGTTGCGTCGATGATGTCGACGTAGAGGAAAGTGAAGAGAGCGAGAATAAAGTGCGTCGTGCTGGTGGAATCAAGGCTCCAGTCAAGCTGATTTAGAATCTTGGATAGGGGATGCCAGGTGATGATTTGCTTGAAGAAGGCGAAGCGAGAGTCGCCCTCGGGAGTATGGGGGAAGTAAGTGACGGGCGTGTTGCGGCTTTGATGACTTCAGTCAGGTAATCTGTTCCTTGTGTATGAACACTTGTGGGACGACTTACGGCCACGAGATGATGGACACAAGGGCGATGCCAATGACGAGGGCGTACTTGACCCTGAACGCCATGAGGAAAGCCGTCAGGATGCCGCCACAGAAGATGGCTAGCCACATCTGTGAATGTGTCAGTGCTATGTACTTCGTATCAAGAGAGAAATGTGCAGAGCAATCTCACAGTTGGGTTTGTCATCTGGCCTCCATTGCAGCCTCCCGTCGTTTCACTTATCATATCGGGAGGGCAGCCGCCCAAGCTCAGGGGAGTCGATATGCCGCCGCCCGTGATGGCACCGATGCCAGACGAGTACGAGAGTCCAATTTCGGTGAGGAAAAAGCCAATGCCCACTCCAGTGGCCGTCTTGATGGTGGCGGGAATGAGCCTGACGAGCCACTGGCGCATACCCGTGAGGGCCAGGAACATGAAGATGATGCCTTCGAAGAAGACGGCAGTCAGGGCAGTGCGGTAGGAGATTGAGCCACTCCCATTGGTGCCAACGACCTAATCGTATGTTTAGTGAGTAGCTCTGGAAGAGTCTTTGGTGATTGAAGCACGTACCTGGTAAGCAAAATAGGCGTTAAGGCCCATGCCTGGACTGAAGACTGGAGTCAGTAACCAGTGAGTCAAATGGGTAATCCGTTCTGACTTACGCAAGGGCGACAGGAAGGTTGGTAAAGAGGCCAAAGAACAAAGAGGAGATACCGGCCAAGGCTGCGGTGGCCGTAATCAAGTCCCTGCGAACCTCTATGGAAGGTCAGATACCCATTGCAGGAGAGACGAGGCGCGATATAAGTGGCTCTCTTACCTTCTTTGCAATCCGCGAATTCGGGGATGGTGTCACATTGGAACTTGTCCGCCAGAGCACACTCGCAAGTCCCGCCAGTCTGAGAGAGGATAGAGGCCTACGGTTCGTGATATCAGTCGGTCAACTTCCGCTAGCCAAGTATCCCTTGCTCTCGAGAGCACGAACATACATTGACGGCGATGATGTACGCCATTGTCGCGAACGTGGTCAGTCCAGCGCGTATCTCCTTGAAGACGCTGGTACCTTCCATCGCATTGGGCTATCACAGCAGTCAGAACTCATCACACAGCAACAATCTTCCCTCTCCACCTTGTTCCATTTCAGAAATGGAGATTGTGAGGAAGCTTACATGTCCCGAATCAGCAAGTCGAAACACCCTGCCGAAGAGAGAGCTGCTCAGCCACTTGTCCACGAGGTCGGCAAAGTCTCGAAATCCGCAGAATCTGGACCGGCCGACTGTGGGAGCTGAAGGGAGTCTTGGAGACAGGATTCTTGGATCGGCTCTGTCATGCTCTTGGCCTTCCTTGGGCTGAACGGTGGGAGATTCCATGATATCGCGGAGGTCGGCCTCGAAGGGTGGTCCAACCTGTCCCTGGAGGTGACGGGTTTGTTATGATACAGATACAGATATGAAAGCGAGTAGTAATCGATATCAGGTACAGCTCGAGTGTTTTTTTTTCTACCGTGAGTTGAAGACGGCGGTGGAATGATAGTAATTCTTGTAGGAAGTCGGAGAAGAGGTGCAGACAGACAGACGGTTGCCAGGGGGATTTTCCCAGAATAGAACGCGCAAGTTGTTGGTAGAGAATAAAAGGATCAGCAAATGCCAGTACTCCGCCAGGTGAGCATAAAGTGAGGCGGGCAGGCAGGGCAGCCGTACGGCCCGTCTGGAGTTGGTTGAGAACACGGCAGCTGGCACGCAGCTGGCAGGGTATCAGTCACCAGGGTCAAGGACAACGATTCCCTGACCAAGGAGGAAAAGCCTGGAGAGGCCAATCAGGGTGCCTTGGCCTGCACGGAGAGCCACGAAATGATCCCCTGGCCTTCCGTACGGGCCATCCGCATCTCATGTTACCACAAGGACCTTTCACTAGCATTCCCAATCCACCTATCCGCGTCGTGCCTGTGCCAGATAGAATGAAATCCCGGAGTCGAGAAGATAGGCTTCGTTGTTGTATGCCATCTCCCTCTGCCTTGTGCATATGTTACCTTGCTGCTGACTACCGGCCGAGCCGCGTTGCTATGTAACCATGTCTTGCAGTGGTCGCACGTCCATGGCCAGCGGTACCAATTAAGAGAGGCCGAAAGGCATGAGATGCTGGGGATGGCGAGGATGTGCCGGCTCGGCATCTCACGCCTTGGCCAATCTATCTTAATCTAGCTGGTAGCCGAGAGGACCGATGTTGCACAGGGGATATCTGGATTGGAAGGGAGGTCGTCAAAGCTCGTTGCACAGGGTATTGATAGTGCGTGGTGGTACCCGTACAGACATGTTGGGTGGATCGACAAGATGAAGGGGCGAAGGTGGCTGAATGTCAAACATGCTGTAATATGGAGGTCCAAGAGACAGATGTAGCTCCGAGGTGAGGGATAGAGACATTGACGTCCAAGCCCGTTCATGTCTGTGGCGAGCTTCAAGAGTTGAACAAGAGGCCTTGGTTCCTAGCACAACGAACTATTGGTAAGACGAGAGAGCATCTATTTCAGCTGACTCAACTTTTGACTCAGATTGTAATGGAGTGAAAGAAACACGCATTATCGGCAGCTGTTACCGATGTCTCATTGCTCTCCATGTGGCAAGCCTGGCACTGCAAGTGTGATTCCTCAGGACGTTGAATGTCGCGCATCAGACATGGCTGAGTGACGATTGTTTTCAGAATGGCAGAGCAGTCCGTCTTGGAAAGAACGAGAATGCGAAGATCCAGCCTGGAATCAGTGAGTATCATGTTGTTTCAGGGGGATAAACGTACGAATCCGTGGAAGAGGGGAAGAGTTGTCCTCATAGTCGCCTCGTGATGGGTATAAAGGGGAGATGATATGTAGACAGCTCCCGCTCGCAACCAGTTGAGCAACGCCTCAGCTCGAATGACCATTAGTCACTGGCAAACAGCATCGTCTTGCGAGCGTTGGAAGGATCGCACCCTCTTGTAGCGGCGTAGAGAGTCACACAGAAGAACAGGTCGCTGATGCTAGCAGACCAGCGTATGACTTCCATGGACTAAGCATGGCAGTGGCGTGGGACCTTTGCTAGCCAACGAGGCCATTCCGAGATCTGGATTCAGCTCACCTGTCCTGCACTCGTGGGAGGTATGTTGAGCAACCAGCTGCCAGCAAACACTTGCCCTCGGCCTAGTCGTCTTGTCCACCACCTCATCGCCACGATTGCGGGAACCTGCATTCTGTGTCCACAGTTCCTGCGGCTGGCCTTACACTCGCTCGAGGACGTCTAGAGTAGCGACTTGCGATGCTGCGAGGCCACCGGGGATGTCTGCTGACATGGATCTTGTTCTTCCTGGCTTCTTGGCCGAAAGTGTGCGCAATTCCCTTCTTAGAACCATCCATTCGGCTTGGCACTTTCGGCCCAGAGATTGATGCGCACTTCCCATGTAGTTCTCGAATATCTCTTGTCCTTGGTGCCAAGTCTCTTGTGCGCTCTCGCTTCCCTCGGCTTTCGCCCCATCGTGTGAAGACCGTAGCATCGGGTTCCGACTGATCTCGCCATAGCGTCTCGCTTTATCTTCTCCATCGCCCTTCGCGACTCAAAACCCAAAGTGTTTCCGAATGCCTACCCACCCTTCAGCCTCCGAACCACGCCGGAACTGCCTGGTCGCCGTTGAGCCTTCTGCCCATCTCGACGCCCTTTGGGCAAGAATTTGACAGCTCAGGCAGGGAGCCTCTTTCCCGATCCCCTTGCACCTCGTTTGCTGCTGTGACACCGAATCCTCTTGGTTGCGTTACTGCCGCTGCATCAGATCAAGACCAGGTGGACGTTCCATCCGCCCGTTTGGGCAGGCATCTTGGGCGAAGCTGAATTTGCTATTGTGCGCGGCAGCAAAAGGGTCTTCCTGCCACATCCTCCCCTCTCCCTTTGGCTGCTCAGGGGGCCATCGCCACTATGTGGGATGTCATCTGGACAGATCCTGATAAAGAACTGGTGGGAGAACACAGAGCTCGCAAGGAGAGGAAAGAAACGCCTCAAAAAGAGCCCAAGAGCCAGCCGAGACGACGCTCGGCATCCACAGCCAGCTCGCGCTGGTCTACAGACTCCCCGTTTGCCATCTTTCGTAATAGGGGCGCAAAGAAGGCAAACACAGCGTCATCGAATGCGCACACAATGTCGCCGACGTCGTCAGGGCTCGAGTCACCGGCCTTGCTGTCCCCCGACCGCTCGCCCATAGCAAAGATGTTTGACCAAGGGAGTCGCCGAAATTCCAGCCGCATATCCACCAGCTTCCTCGACCGACTTGCCAGCATCGACAGTCCCCTGAACACCAGCCCGCTGATTCCGGACAAGAGTCTTGATGGTCGAGCAAGGGTGCCTCTGCATCTCGCGAGTGCCGGTAAGCAAAGCCATGTGGCTGCTCAGATCCCAGTCGTATGTGATTCGAGGCTCACGACACTCTCGTCCTGCGTACAGATTCACTGGTGCCGGTTGCGCGCGTCTCGAATGCCGGCTCTGCGTGTGATGACCTGACAGAGTCCGAGAAGATGAAGAGTCTGATGCAGATATTCGGGCAAAGCCCGCAGACGGCCAAACCAGCTGCCGGCGACTGCCAGATTCCGTCAAACAAGGCCGCCGTCGCTCCTGACGCTTCTGTCGATACGCCTCTGCCACCGCCTTTGCCAGCTGATAAGCCGTCAGTCTATTCTTCTGAGATTCTGCCCTCTTTTCTCCTCTTCTGCCAAACTCCTTACCAACGCATCGCTATCTTAATAAGGCTGAAGCTGACAGTCATCAAAGCTCTTCCTCGCATTCCTCAACGTCAAGATCGTCACCAACGGCCAGACCGCCGTCCAGCGCTCCAGCAGCTCCCATACTCTCCATCAACTCTCTCCAGATGGCGCAAGTCAATACCGAGGTGCCCATCACGCCTAACAATCCCGAGGCATGGAAGCCTCTAGACGACTGGGAGCCACGCCCTCTGCTGGAGGAATCACCCGAGCCAACGTTTGAGTCGGGTGATCCCAACCAGCTACCCACGGATGGCATCGGCATCAACAAGAACTTTTGCTGGCTCCGCGCTACAGTCGTCGAGATGGCAGAGACGAGTGTGCCCGAGATACTCTCCCGGCTGGAGACAGTATGGAAGGGCGTTGCAAAGAAAGACGTCCCTTTCCTCCTGGGAGACAGCCCCGAGGTCGAGGAGTTACGGAGGTGGATGCTCTCCACCATGATTCACATGGACAAAGTTCCAACACGAGATGCGCAATGGCTGCCTCGTAGGATATCTCCCCTGACGGCTCGCATGACCATCAGCCTCTACGACTCAGCAGGTAATGTGCCTCTTTCTCCCTAATAAATTCGATCAGCTATGCTAATCATAGATTGGGCTTGGTTTGACAGCCACTGTCGCTTACCTGGCTGCTCTTGAACCCACGAAGCAGATATATCACGTATCACAGCTCTCCACACCACGAGACGAGCTGTTTGCCAATGTGCGGGTGATTTCAGTCTCCCAAGTCTCACCTACAGACTTTCCAGTAGCGCCTCGCATATACGAATCGGTTCACTCGCTGACGCTGCCGTCTCTGTGTCCTTCTGCGCAGCTCCCTGGGATACTCGGCAACGTCTACAAGTGTCTCAAGAAGAAGGGGTTCCTGAGGTTGGTGATTATCGACCCACTTCCTCGCACGGGCACCATGGGTAGGAACATGAAGGGCTGGATCGAGGAACACCTTCTCCGGAACCTGGCGAAGCAGGGCAAATGCCTGAGTCCCAGCACAGCTTTTCCGCCTTTGCTGGCTGAGGCTCGTCTGCGCGGAGACGGAAGCACTCTCACGACGACAAAGTTTTACGCCGTGCCCGAGAGCGCAACCGAGTACTTGGATAAGGTCAAGGATGCGATACAGGCAGAGAACGAGGACAAAGCCCAGGTTAGGAGTCTGATTGGGCGGATGCTCTGGGTCGAAGCATGGGGCCCGCATGTCACTGGTAACAGATGGTGGTGGGATGACCCGGCCTGCGTGGCTGAGTGTCTTGAGATGGGCACGTTTTGGGAATACCACACTGTCAAAGGGGTCAAGGAAGTGGATGAAGCCACCAAGGCAGCATGAACCGTCACGGCGAGTCGTTGCCTGTTATGCCAGGTGAGTTCTGGAGAAGAGCAATAAGATTTGCATATGTCCTCCCGGTATCTGCCTTCATTTGCTGGTTGGGTGAAGAGGCGTTCTTTCATCAGCCGGCTGGATCGCGAAATAACTCCTTGTGCTTCGTTTCATTGTCAGTCAAGCTGGTACTGTTCTTTCTCACTCAGCAATAGCTTGCGGCATTGGGTATGATGTCGTCCAGCTCTATCCTTCCATACAATATACTCCATACAATAGACGCGTGCGAAACGGGGGCGATATTGTGTAGTGTATCGTGAGGAGCAAACCTCGGCCGGCTTATTCAAGCATTCACCGACGGAGTAGCGATCACGCCTCGGGGCTTAGCAGACCGCTTGAGAGATGTCCGGGTCAATACCATATCAGACACTCACTCAACTTTGCAACATGCTGTTGTAAGCAAGTAATACTAGTATGCACTCCCTTTACCCCCTGCCTCTGCAGAGTGCCATTAGGCATGGTCTGTAGCAAAAGCCCTCGGCGGAATACCCTTCGCGAGGACAGAAGACGGGTATTACTCCGTATTCCGTACTGCAACCTCAGAGCTATCAGTATGTATCTGGCCCTGGGTACAGTACAGCAGCAGTTGTTGGACGATTCAGGGTTACATGTGGAGAAAGAACTCGGCACGAAGAGAATTGGTGAATGGACTGAGGGGCGAACAGTCGCCTCTTCTTCTCTCTTTGCTTCCCCCCTGGCCGGGCGATGTGATAGGAGTGTGATTCATGTGTCCCGGAAGCCGGACCGTATTGTGCGTGTGTGTGAGTGTGTGATAAGGGAACAGGACAGGTATATGGAGATGTAAGCACCGTAAAAGAAACAGAGGCGCCGAAGACAGAAAAATTGATCTTGGATGCTACCCTGACCAGGGGGGTTTCTTCACGATGGAGTTGTGTAGCATCGCCTGAACGGCAGCTTACCATTCCTTCAGGGAACTTGCATGGAAACGAGTCCATTACACGAACCAACAGCTGGGGAAAAAAGAGAGGGGGAAAAAAAAAAAACCACGCCACTTGTTGGACTGCAGGCATTTGTTTACTCACTCTCCCATGTTTTCTTCGAACCGAATGCAGGCATGATACATGTATGTATGTATGTATGTATGTATGTATGTATGTATGTCTGTCTGTAGCCACCATGTGCGTGTATATGATAGAACCTCCCCTTTTTGAGGAAACCCGGTCTTTCTGTATGACTCCTGCTGCGACTGAAGGACAAGGGGTTTCTCTTCCTCTCTTAACGAGCAGAAAGCTCCGCTTTTGGATGATGTTGTCCATGTCTGTATATAACATCATTGTTGCAGAATCTGCTGTGTAGAAGCAAAATGCCTTTTGTCCATCGTCGACTTGGCGAGCAGACAGACAGACAGACCATGTATTATCCCACGCGTTCCCCCCCTCGGAGAATTAAACAAAAAGGAAAGAAGACGGACATACATACAGCAATACCCTGCCTTGGACATGCAAAACGCATCAAATCTAGTAAATTGGCACGACTATCAATATCTCTCCCCCCTCCCCCAAACTTGTCAGACCCGTTCGTGTCAAAGAAGACAAACCCACCACTCCAAGCGATTATCTCCCCCCTTGCCCTTCCCCCCCCTTCCGACTTTTCCGAGTGTTTTGGACCACGCAAGTCTTTGATGTTTCAGAATCTCTGGATGAACAAGGATATCATGTCATATCTCTGTTGACATGAAGGCTCTGACGCCCAATCGCCCTTTTTCAATACTACTCGTTTACATACAGGCACGGTTCGCTTTGTAGGTAGTATCCAACACTAGCCTTTTTCCTTTCTCTGCAAGTTTCTATTACTACTGTAATAGTTTCGACATTAATATCCCATGAAAGAATCGTGTGCAAGCTTCACCCGGCGATTGTGCCTAAACTCTCGATTAAGACAGCAGCGCCGTTGTTTCGCCTTTTGGTAAGTCTAATCCAGTTCAAGGCGGTTTGGCCGAAACACTGTTTAAGGGCTCTCGCACATTGACCAACACACATGCAACTTTTTGCATCAATTCTGTATTGTTTTCCATGATTGTTTGTGCCGCTTGGCCTGCCTAATTCGTCAATTGGACGTTGGTGACATCTCCAAACCTCCTCGACGCCCGGTTCTGCAGGACTAGTGGTTTTCCCAGGCAGTGCTACCATTAACGTCGTAACGGTCAGTTGGTTCAGGTTCATTCTGCATCTGGCCCAACAGCAAGTTACATACATACATGTATGCATCATGAATCCTTATGCTTACTCTGGAACCTACCTAGTTTGCCTCGTTTTCTGCAGCCTCCCGTTTTCGGCAACATCTTGTTGGGCACACGCATCTTATAAAAGAGAAAAACCACCAATCCAATACTACAGTTCTGTAGGTAAGCATTTCTCAACTTACCTGGAAATATGAAAAAGGTAAGAGGTCAATATTCTGTCGTTACAAAGGGAGAGGCTCTGGTCTCTTCATGCGAAGTGAGCAGTCCACCGCCTTACTCGCAATCAATTCCCCAGAAACGCCATCCAAACCCGTTCACCCCTTATCAGCATAAGCACAAAAACGCCCTCCTCAGCCCTATATACTAACCTACCTACCTGCCTCAAGAGGTACCGTACCATCAACTACTACTAGGCTATTGAGCTCGCCGGAGCCTTGAATAATCCTCCAAGTCGTTAACAACTCGTATGAACTCATCCCTTCCACTCTCATACACATACATACTAGTCTCAATACATACCTTACTTGCGAATCAATAGCCTATTCAATCCAGCCCCCTATCTGAGCCCCCCAGGTCTCCCTCAACCATTCATCCTAAACGGAACTTCATCCTGGGCTTCATACAATCACGCAAGAATACCTTTAATCAACACGGTATTCAAGAAGTAAAAAAAAAAATAAAAAAAGGTGTGCGGCCGAGTGTAGAGACTCGCGCTTCCTTTTTATTTTCCCAACTCGCTTGATAGGTGTTGGCCCACCCCCCTCGTTGCGTTGGACCTCTGAATTCCCGTCCCGTTCCCGCCATTCCCGTCTCTCCCGCATGGTAAAATCACCCTCGAAGCGAGTTGCCCAGGCATGCAATCCTCCTAACAAACCCAAGTAGAAAAGAAAGCCACAAAAAGCAAAGAAAAAACAAAAACGATCCCATCGAGAGAAGGAAATCGCAGCATCACCTTCGTCATTGTATATGAATGAGACAACATCACCAATCCGCCCCTATCCCCTCAGTACCTATGCAATGCAATGAAATGCATGGCCATAACCGGATTGGAAAAAAAGAAAAGTAATGAATGAAAAGAAGGCTGCTGAGCTGACGCAACAACCAACAACTCCAAGTATTACCTACCCAAACCATCCATCCCTCTCATGCTCGCATCACCGTCCGTATACGCAGACGCAAGCGAAGGATTTCGCCAGGAAAATAATAATGCTAGTCTGCCCTCCACCCCAGACGGACAAATCCCACCTGCCTGGTTGCGGAGATGGTGGGAGGGCCCTGGTTCCTGAACGTGGCCGCTCGGACGACCCCTGAAGACGCCATGGCTTGGGGGAAAGAGGGGGGGGATGATGGCCCCGGATCTAGATTGATGAGGCCAAGACAGAACCTCACCAACCAGTGCCGCTAACAGTTCTCCAGACTCGTAGGTCAAGACGCTTAGCTGGGACGCGGATCAAAGCGCTAAACATTCAAGCAATTGGGTTCAAAGTCACGGTGGGACGGTCCTATTGAGTCGAGGCGAAGGAACGTAGAGAACAGTCGAATGAGAAAAAGTGGCGAGTGCAGCGCACTTCAGCGTCGATTGAAATGTGTGGTAGTCATAGTAAAAAAGTCATGGGTATCTTTCCTGCCTCCTTGTGTTTCCTAGTGGCGAGAGGCGCCGCCGTCCCTGAGTACCCAAGAACTCATCATCCTTGCCGTCGTGAAAAAGTTTGAGAGAAAGAGAAAGAAGAACAAACGAGAAGATGCATCATTGAAAGAATCGAACGAGTCAAGCCCCTCCAGAGCAGCACGCTCGGAGTGACGATTAAATAATATACCCGAATAGAAGCAATACAACCCATTCCTCCTTGTCGTCATCATGTGCTTGATCGTCCATACGCCGAGTTGGTCTCCACCGATGAGTGAGCGTCTGCGGAGGGCGTTCGGGTGTTGAGCTCCGTCATACTCTCCGAGTCGATTCCCTTTGATCTGTTTCCCGGCCTGAAATTGGCAATGCCGCGGCTGTGGCGTTTGTTCTCCTCCTGCGGGTCCGCTCCTCCCACCAGCTCCATCACTTCCGGCCGTTTGCCAGTCTTGATATCTTCCCAAAAGCTCTTGCATGCTTCCCATGATGTTACGGCGTAGATGGCGGCGTTCCAGAATCCTTGGAGCGGAAGCACAAAGGCACTCATGGTCTCAAGCGGTGCGTTGATCTCCTGGGCCTTGACGACGGAATAGACTCGGTTGGCGCTCGAGGGGATCCAAGTAACGAGCAGCGCCGTGAAGAACAAGAGCGAGCACTTTGCGTAAGCCCATGCTGCGTTGTTGATTTCGTAGTTGCGTCGTCGGTTAGGGTCCTTCTTCCTTCCCATTCTCGACTTCTTGGCGGCCTCCGTGACAACAGGTCGAACGGGCTCGATCTTGTCGCCGGCGGGAGGAGCACTGGCCGAGATATGCACCGAGTAGTTGGCATCCGGATCGGCATGTGGGCGGAAGTCTGCAGGATTCGGGGGCACAGCATCCGATGTCGTCACGGTCACCTCGGTGGTCCTGAGGGTGGTGATGACGTCGATGGAGGAAAGGCCTTCGGAGGAGTGAAAGTCGTTGAGCTGCTTGTGCTTCTCATAGATTGTTCGTCCGGCTCGGATGTAGATGAAAAAGGTGGCAAAGATGACAACCCTGGACTCGCATTAATATATTGATCCCCACCCTAGTCCCCGTTGCTTCAGATGGAGACGACTCACCAGACGGGGCCGTAAAACGTGGCGATACGGAAAACATCCCATTCGGTCGTGATCCAACACCAAAGTGTGGCATCGCCGTAGGCTCGATAGCCGTCTTTGTTCTTGAGGAAAATGTAGACGAAAGCGGGGATGAAGGGGATGCCGTAGCAGCACAGCAGATATGGTATCTCCATTCGCCGCAACTTTCTCGCGTCATACTTGTGGTAAAATGTCAGATAGACGTTGAACGCCATGGCCAGTGTCCAGAATGCATCTGCAGGCATGAACCTGTATACAGTTATTAATGGCGTCCTCACCAGAATCTGAGTGTTGTGTGTGGAAGTAAGAGAGCGCCCTACATCTGGATGAGGAACCCTTGCAATTGGCAGGCGGGAGAGTGTGGCTGGCTGATGAAGCTCCTGGACATGAGCGTGCCCACATTCGTCATCATGTTGCCGAACGAAGCATAAAACACCAGTCTGTTGATGGGCTTGTGGAACGAGCTGGAGGCGCAAAAGGTGACAATGATGAAGACACATCCTATCAGTGAGACCACCGAGCAGCCTCGCTCGATGTTGCTGATGGTCTCCAGCTCGCCTGGTGTGAGGCCCTGACCCATCTTGGGCAGTCGTTGTTGTCCGGCGATTCGAGTATTCAGATATGTATCATCGAAGTTGGGAGGGGAATTGAAGCCTCGAGTCGAGGGGGAGAAGACGTGCCGGCAGCTCCGATCCTCGTCGTCGAGCTAGGAGAACTTGTTGATTCCCAGTGGAAAAGAATACGGCCCGTCCCTAGCAAGTCCCTCCAGAGGGGAAACCTGATAGTATTATATGTGCTGTAACGATGGGGGGGAAAAACTGAATCAGGGCTTGTGCTGATGGAGCGCACCAGTACGTCCAGAAGAGAGGGCAGGGGTCGATGAAGAGGGTGCGCAAGAGAGCGGCAGCACTACCAGTAGTGCCGAATTCCCAATTTGCGATTCATAACAGGGCAGGACAGAAAGGGAAGGGTCAACATCCATATGGAGCAGCATGGCAGCGAACTTCCGTCCTAATGCTAGCAGGCCAGCCCTCTTAATGTAGTAGCTGATCGACGCAGTAAACCTGCTTGGTCGCCGCAACCACACGGACCGTCTTCCGGAGCCAGAAGCACGGGGCGACTGCTCGAAAATGGCTTGCGAGTTAGTACTCCGTAGCAATGTCGAAAAATAGCCAGGTGCCCATGTCTCAGGTTGCCTGTCACCAGGGTTGCTTGAGTGTTTGAACGGTTGGGGCGTCGAGTATGAACGGGGCACATGTAGGTAGACGCAAGCCGTCTCTACTTCTTTGTCCTGGTGTGATACGACGCTGCGCCCACGTCCAAAGAAGCTCTGGGTGGCCATGGCAAGCCCACGACGGTTGGAAGCCTAACGGCATCGTGGCTAGACTAGGGACCGGGGGAACGACGAGACGACGGAACCGTATCAACAGCAGCCGTATGGGGGAGCATCGCTGAAGGGCCGGAGATTGAATCCAGTATCATGCATAGTGTGGGTGGATTGGGTCGGTGGACGTCCGGTGGAGATGCATTATAGCCATGCAGAAGCGAGGTACTTGCAGGGCCGTCGACTGGATTGATACCAACTCAAGCGGTATCGTTTAGCCCGTGAACCATGTCCCGTTGGTCGGCGAACTTGCGAAATATACCTGCAAACGTGGCAAAGCGTTTGACCTTGGACCGACATGGAACATTACTAGACGTTCGTTGTGTGCGTGAGCCCTTGCTGAAGACTTGTCTTGTTAGGGGCAGTCTGTCCTTGGCATCGAAGAAATGACAATGCAGCCCCGCCACCAAGGCGTTTCGAGGACGTCCTCATGTGTCTGACATCTGGGGAATTCAATGATAGCAGCAGTAGGATGGTAATACCGAAGTATGACGGAGGAGACCATCTTGCTCCTCGTGGCCACAGAATGACCTTGTATGCAGCACGGGACTGGAGCGCCTGAATAATGCATTGAAGAAGCCCGTAAGCAACGATCGCCAAAGGAAAACGCCAGAGTACCGTTTTCTCGGGCTTTCGTCTCATCCAGGGAGCGAACTAACAAGTTGGTCCAAGCGGAAGAGCATTTCGTTTGTTGACTGGCTGCGTCCTCGTACGGAGTGCAAACTGCAACTCTGGACAGGAGCCGTGCTGGGCCAAGGTGTCTTCGAACGGCAAACCCCCCCATACTGTACTACCCAACGGCCGGGGTTTGGGCTAGCGTGGCTGCTGCAGAGTCATGAACCCTGAATGCAAGGGATAAAGCATCCGGGATTCGACTCCACAGGCTTGAGGTACGAGCAGTTTCGTGTAGGGCTAGCTGGTGCCTAGTTGACGAAGGCATCCCGCAAGTGACGATATCAGAGTCCCCCGTTTGGTGTTTGATCTGCGAAGCGATGCGGAGGTGCAAGTGAACGGTCCCTCGAATGCAGCTAGACAGCGACACAGAAGTTCTGGACTAAGGTGGTTTCAAGATAACGCCGTGGGAGCCGCAAGCCAACCCCGACATAGCAAGGCGATTAGACGGACGCTTTGGTCATCATGCGCAAAGAATCGATCCGTCCTAATGAGGCCAAATGACCACTTGGACATGGGCTCCACGATACCAAGCCGCGGGGTAAGAGGCGGCCAAGACTATTGGAATCGCCACCAGATGCTCATCTCGCGGTGATCGAATCTTGCCAAGAGACACAGCTCTTGGAGAAGCTCGACAGCATCATCGAGATGCAATCTGTGTTATTTGCTCCGGAGTCCTGATGATTTGACAGCGGGCCAGGTCCTTGTACCTGCAGGAAGTATGTACTCGTAGTACAGCACTATATCATCCCATGTGCGGCAGCAATTGTTGACCGTTTGCTGTGTCTATCTGCACCTGCATGTCAGCACTACTAGCCGCAGACCCGTCCAATGATGGAGCGCCAGAGACGGCTCCTTTTGCCTCTTGCTTGCTCCTTGTCCCGTGAATTTTTTTCTTTTCTCATCTTCAAACTTCCAAGACAAACATGCGGTTGGGCTCTCGCGGTGAACGCAGCTAGCCGCCCGCAGCGGGTCGGAGGAAAAAGGACTTGGACTTGGACTTGGACTGGCGTGGGTGAATTCAGCCTAAGAAACTGAAAACTCCGGTGACATCTGCCGCTGGCTGAGCTAGAAGCTGTCAGTGCGAACTAGCGGGAGGAGCAAGATTGCGTGTCTTGGCTGGGGGGGGGGATCTGGCGCGAGGCAATGGCGTGGAGAGGAGAGCGAGGAGGAGATTGAGATGAGGAGGGATGCTGTTCGTAATACCTACTGTACGAGTAGATGGAGTGGACAGATTGGGCTGCGGTGTCGATGACCAATTCTGTTTGGTGCTGTTCCTGGCTCTCGGACCGTCTGTGTCCCCGTGCTTTCCCCCAGTTCACGGTGCTTGCTCCCCTTTCTTCTTCACCGGGCGCCTCTCCAGCACTCAGTACCTGCTGTGCGATAGCCCCCAGGCCCAGTGCCTCGGCCGCGCACTAACACGCCCCCTGTAGCCGCACGTCGTCATGATCCATGCTCGCCATGTTTGCGGCCTGCAATCCATCATCAAACGCTGCATCTTCGCCAGCATCGTCCGGAGAAGCCAGTGCCGGCCGGGCGACAATCAGTGCCGCAACAGCGCGAGCCCGCCATCGACCAAATTGCCGACGATCCAAATGCTCCAGGCCCAGCAAATCAGGCGAGCGCAATACCGCCAGCCGCGCCCGTTGCAGAGATTCGCTGCCCCCGATCAGCGCCTCACCAGCCAGACGAGGCAGCGTCGTTCATGCTAGCCGGAGCGACATCCTTGCAGCCACGGCCGTCCAGGATCGATGCATCTCCCAAAGATCCGACCTTTCAAACCGTCTGAACCGTAATCATCCATGGATTATCAAGCCGTCGATGAAGCGACGAACGGGCTGCCCCACACGCGCATTTCCCATTTGATGCCAGCTTTGCCAGGGAATCTTCCAAAAGGGCGACAAAGGGGGGGGCCTGCTCTTGATAGACCATGCCGATGCGTCCATACCGCCAGTTGACGGCTTCAAACGGACTGCTGCAGGTACTCGAGGACAAGCTGAGGTACGGGGGTTCGCCACGGGGTTCGCCACTGATGCTCTCTGCCTTTCCAAATTTGCATTGACTTGTTACAGTATGGTAGCACAGCGGCGAGTCATGGTTCCCCCTCTGCGAAAGCACGAGAGTCATGCCCGGTGGGACTCTGCAGCGCCGCGAGTGCTGTTTGGTATCACCGGCCGGCGGCCGCACGGAGCGGCATGGACGAAAATTTTAACGGACTCGTCTCCTTGCCCATTTCCGTCTTACGCGGCGGGAACACCGTATCGACATGTGGCCTCGCGAGGCTGGGGCACGGATGCCAGAGCATGGCCTGGCCAGGCTGCAGACAGACAGACAAGGTTTCGATATCATGCTGCCACGACGGATGCTAGGCGAGCGCAAGGCGCCATCAGACGACGACTCGGCACTTGTTCCTTTGGCGGCAATCGAAGTCCACGTCGATGGCTGCTGGAATTGCTGTCGATCATGTCGCGGCTCTTCAAAACACTCCCATGTCAGCCTTGCCTTGCCTGGCATCTTGCATCTCGCAACCGACCCTTAAAAAGGAGAGCCAAGCATCTGTTTCAAGACGGTCTTTTCTCGGAGACACTTTGACACTCCAAGGTCATCCCAGGTCGACTCCTGTTGTTATGGAGCAGCCCGTATGCATCTGTGGATACAAACTTCTCGACTCCCTGGGGCAACTCTAGCCTTGAAATGCTTCGAAGCTATCGTATCGTTAGACAACCATAGCTCCAGGTTTCAGGCTCGGCCGCGTTTGATTCGACGACATGGTCGGTGTGCAAAAGCACGTTGTGCCTCGCTGATCGTTTCTCAAGTGCCGTCTTTGACAATCGTCGTTTTGCAGGGCTGGTGCGCATTGAGCCCTTCGATCTCTTGAGAACCTGATTCTGATTGTTGATTGCGGGAATCGCGGATACTCTTGCTTCTTCAAGAAAGGTCAGTCCCGGTAAGGCGAAACCCGTGCACACGGTCATCTCCTGCTGGCCATGCCTGGTCTCTGGAGTTTCAAGACCTTGTTGAATTCAAAGAGGGGGTTCTCGACGAGTCGCTGATTACATTGCACCGCAATGCTGCATGCTCAGCGAAATGACCCGAGTCTAGAAGTCACAGCGACGCGGTAATAACAATCAGTCCGAATGCCTCTCGATGCCACTGGCGATACGCCAGAGCTCATGGACGCCGAGCAGCAGAGTCTCACTTGCTGTGTTCCAACATCTTGGCGGCTAGGCACGGCGATCAAGCTTCCGACACCAGAATGCTAACACGACTCAGGCACGCCCGAAGAGGTCAAATCTAGAGAGCTTGTGAGGAGTTCGTTCACGATCCAACGGGCGCGCGGCATCCATGGCTGCTGCTAAATTGAGAAAGCCAATAGTTGGCCCCTCAGTAAACCTTCCGCTCGTCCGCCTGCCAATCTGCTTGGACGACGCTGTGGACGATGGCTTTGGGCGACGAAGAAAATTGCAGCAGTTTGCGAAAGAAAATCTCTGCAAATGACAGCTTGCAGGTGCAAGTTCTTGATGGTTAAGCTTTGCAGTCTGTGCTCTCTCGTGTTATTTGCATCCCTGCCTCAGGGGTAGAGATATTGCATTGACTACTACCCCAGAACTCGCTCGCCATGGTTGCAATTGACTCACAGGTGAGCCTAGAATGACTAACCAAGATGAGTGAGTGCTTCCAAGAGAAGCGAGGCATAGATGAGCTTGAAGTTCACAGGGTGAAGAGCAAAGGAGGGGTGTGTGTGTGGACGCGAGAAGTGAACTCAACGTGCCTCTATCTTTCTGTTTGCTGGTGGCCCAACTTCGATATATGTATCAATTGTCTTGAACCAAGATCATAGACACTATGGTGCAGGATTGAAGGTTCTTTGCTCTTCATGAATTGCTACTTCCCTGCTCTTTAGCATGAGATGTTATATTTGCTTGGTACTGAGCGCTTTGACAAGACTCAAGTCTGTGAGAGAGACTTCTTGGCCATCTTCGTCTTTTGGCTTCTTCCTAGAAGTGTCTGACCAGTGAAGTCTCACCCTATATGAACAAAGTGTCCAGAATCGATCGGTAGCCTTGGACTTGTAGTGACTTTAATCTCTTCTCACATGAGATGGGAACGCATGCACGCTCGCTCAACTTGAGGATTCATTTGTCCCATGAGTGCACTAAGGTACAATTTGGACAGTCAACCAAGAGTAAACGAGTTCCTTCTTCATTAGACCACACATATCTAGCAGGCTATTTCAGGGAATATGTTCATGCGTAGACGTAGAAATTAGGTGACATCTCATGTCGAGCTCGAGGCCGGCGGAGATGATATAGCCAACATTCACTTGCCCGGTTGATGAACCATGGTATAGATATGTATCAACGCCTGCATGTTTTGGATGGACGAGTGGGAAGACCATTGAGATTGTTGAGAATTGAAGGCCTAGAATCGTGAGTGCGTGGATATGTATGTATTTACAATGAGTCCTGAATGGGGTGTTTCGAACGATTTGGCATGAGTTTAACTCTATCATGGAGTGAAGGGGGGATGGCATTCATCAGCAAGGCTATCAAGATGATGGCCTATTATTGACTTTTTTCCTCATGTATGAAAATAGCATGTTCACTGAAAAAGAACAAGCAGAGGGCCAGTTGTATCCAATAGGGTAACTCGTTGGCTTCTTTAACAGCTCACGCTGCATCATCCCGTGTTCTTCTAACAAATTTACTTTTGTTGTTCAAATGACCAGGACCCCTCATTCTTTGATGCGTCAGAATAATCATGTTCAAGTTGCAAACTATGTAGCAGAGTAGCTGGATGCCGCTCAGAAACACCCATCTGAGTGTTGAAAATAGCGTATGATCATATTACTCCCTCACTCGCTCACAACAAACACGCGTCTTACGCACGTCTAATGCTCATACCTTATACATAACACTGAGCATGAACAGACAACACATTTCTGTGCTTTGAAAATTTTATATATCTTGAGTTCAGCCAAGTATACACATAAATATATACATGTAGGCAGATATTCACCTCTTCAATACAAATAGCCTACCCCATATCTACCTTACACCAAATGTCCACACCCGCAAACTCATTCTATTCCACAAGGCAACTATAGAAATCATGCTCACGAGTCTGTCTATATCCCTTTATCCCTGCTGATGGAACTTTAAGGAAAGATTCTGGCATGGCGTCCAGTCATTTCAACTCCCCGGTCTGCATCATCACTCTCTAGCATCGGAGCCATGTCCTCAGGAGGCACTTTGAACAGGCTCTTAGCGAAAACAGGTTCCAAAAAAGCCTGTCGATGTTTCTTTACCTTCATTTGCTGCACTGTACTTAGGAATCCGCCACCATCTTCACCTTACATCACCATCTAGTCTCCGTATCTGATCTAGATACTTGTACTTGCTGATATTGAGAATGTCAAACAGACTAGAGCAACATAGGTATGTCTTGTCTTTGAGCAAACAACAAGCCCATGTATCTGTCACTTCGGAAATGACTCTCTAAATCGACAGTAACGTAGAGCTCATGCAAAGCACAAACCAAAGCCCATCATCCAACCCGAATCCCATACAAAGGTCACCACTCAAATAATCGTAAATCAATGACTCCCACAACATAGATATTGCTAGCTCACTCAAGAATCCAACCGCATTCCACTTCCTCTACCTACATACTCACAACATATCCCGTTCACGGTACACAGCATCATCAGTATTCTTCTACCCCAACAAACAGATTCTCTTGAAGCGCCCACAGAGCAACTACCTCTTCTTCACCATTCCCCCCAATCCTCGTCATCCATCAAAGCTTATCCTGTCATCAATAGCAATCCACCACCTGTTTAGCCCGCAAATAGCTCCCATCAGCTCACCCATCATCCAATCCTTCTCACCGCGGAATAAGCGCATCGCAAGAGCCTTACATAGCCTTACATGTAGCCATACGTACGCCAATCCTGCGCCAACAAGCCGTCTCACTCACCACTCTAACAGCTGGCATCGCCTCGCCCCAAGCAAGCAAGGCTCGCTGAGCGCTGCGCTGGATTCGTGGTAGTCATACGTGTAAACTCACTTATCTATGCAACGTCGGATCCCAATTCTGACCACCTTTAACCACTGGCTGCATGTACCGGCAAAGTCGTACAGCCCTCTCCATATGCACGTCAGCCCATCTCTGCACCTCCTCCGCCTTATAAAGACAGGACACCAGAGTTCCAAGTACCGCTACGCACACAATAAAGCCAGCATAAAGAGAACCTGTCGCCATTCAGCCCCCCTCTCAGAATTGTGTGACGTGAAAAGGTGAACGCAGCCGCCTGCTTACTTGCTTGTGTGACAAACAAGCCTCTCTATATTACGAGCAACGGCATCGATATGACAGATCGCATCTCGGTCATAAATTCTCGCATTTGCTTCTTCAATAGCCGCATCAGCTAAATGGCCGTCGGGATTCAGTCAGTAGAGCTCTAGTAAGCCGTGACACAAAGAGGCATACGGGCGCGCAACTCGGGGCGCCATCCTGGCCTTCGAGTCTGCTCAAGTAACGTCGAGAACAACAAGCACATGTATGTGCTCGAAGCCTAAAAGCAAGCGGATTTGCCTCATGAAATGCTCTCCCGCCGACCAGCGTCTTGAAAGGGAAGTAGTACCTGTTGCCGTAACAGTAGGATGTGGTAATAGAACAGCTTCCCTTCTCAGCACTCACTCATGCACGGCCCAAAAGACGCCATGCTAGGGTCGCAGAGACGCATCACATGCATTGCGACTATGCGGCTTGCGGACAAGATTGCATGTGCCCTAAGCTCGATGCGAGCCGTTACGCACCAACAGCCCGAGGACCGAGAGAGCAGCTGCATATCCCGTGAATAATCGTGATGCGACCTTCTGCGGCCACACGGCTTAGCTTCAACACCATGATGGCCCTGGAGTACCTGTACATTGCGCCAGATTTTGCTCCACAGCTGCGCGTCAAAGAAAGAAGCCTGTCCCATGGCGTCGAGGAGTGGAGAAGCAGAGGCTCCATATTATCGAGGACGAGGATCGGTCCGCTTCGGCTTCACGGAAGCAGCTTCTTGATGGACATGAATAGTGGGCAAGTAGGGAGAGTGAGAGATCAGAGGAGCATCACTGGGTCCGTAATCCTGCAAAAGCAAATAGCCACCTGGTTGCCCGGTCGCCCGGATTCTATTTTCAAGCCGTAGGAAAAGAGATAGGGGTCAAGCACATGTGAAGAAGAAGAAGATGAACAAGTTGAGGTACTGGGAAGCGCATATCAAACAGCGAGCTCATCAGACACCTCGCTGTCGACGTATCAAAACAAGAACGACAGAATAAGAGAGGAACAGAGCAAGAAATGGATTTTTGCCCCAGACATAGAGCCACACTTTGTCAGAATTCAGAACACGCCTCGAATGTTGAGGGGAGAAAAGAGGCAGAAGGGGAAAGGCAGAGAACAGTCCAGATTGCCAAATATCAGGGAATGGGGAGGCAAAAGGAAAACTGGAGAAAAGGGGGGAGAAAGAAAACGGGGGAAAGGGGGTATCGCTATATTGCCTCCTTCTAGAGCTCCAAGCCAAACAAGTGCTGGAACGTGCAAAAGGCCGACCCAAGGTGTTTTTCTTTCCATCTATCCAACGCAGAAATGAAAGAAAAGGGGGGAAATCGCTTCGGCGTGTCTTGAATTCTTACCCAAACACCAAATCGCAAAGAAAAAAAAAAAAGAAGGCCACTCCCAAACAAAATCTGCAAACCACCTTAGCCGCCGCTGTCAAATAAGGAAATTTGAAAGACAGTACCGCCACAAGGCCGAATAGAACAAGTTGGAAGATGAGGAAAAAATTAAAAGGGACAGATGGTCGGAAGCTCCCAGCAGCTTCAGCCATACTCGGTCATGGCATCGCTATTATCAACGAGCTCAAGTCGTTGGTAGACGTGTCTTGGACCGCCATCGGACGCAGCTCGCGACAGCTGGGGCGATCCTTGGCGAGAGGAATAGTCCGAGTTGTCGCTGGTGATGGGCTTGAAGTAGCCATCCGTCAGCGACATGGTGCTGTCGCGCCACCAGTAATGCATCACGTCGCATTGCCAGCGCCACATGTCTCGAATCTTCAAGGAGCGGCTGGCCTGGAAAGTAGATCGCAGCAGCACGGCGTTGAGGGGGGACAGTCGCAGCTGGTGAAGGAGCCATCGGTTCACGTAATCGGCCTTCTTCCCGCCATCACACTCCCGCATGAGGTTGTCAATTGCATACTCCTTGGAGGCCAGTCTCTTCCTCACACCCTTCTCTGGATGGTGATTCGGGAGTCGAATGGCTGCTTTGAGCGCGCCCAGAGGAGTGAGCGGCTCATCCGCCAGCACATGATCTGGCTGGGATAGCAGTTCGTTGAACTCGGCATGGCCTAATGTCTTGCGACTGCTCAGAATCGTAGGCTCTTCGTCCAGATCCAGATCCTCGTATTTGACCTGCGGATCTAGCGCATATTCCATCTTGATGGACATGTGCTTCTTCATGACCCCCCTTTCTTCGCACATCTTCCGGAGCTGACTGACCCGAGCTTCTAGGCTGACTACCACGCCGTGCATCCGCATCTCCTCGGACGGAAACTCGTCAAAGAACTCCTTCATGTCCAGCTCGTCCGAGGCTTTCTGATTGGTCGTCTTCTTCAACTGCAATTCTTCCTCATACTGTTCTCGAGTAGAGAGGAGGTCTGCATATTCGTCGCGGGCGTTTCCAAGGTAGCCCACCGCTGAGGTCAAGTCGACATAGAGCGGATGCGGATCCTCGACTGGGCCGAACGGGGAAATACCCCTGAGCTCATACGGTATCTCTGCCTGGTCAATGTTGAATTTGGCCGCACCAGAGTCGCTGCAAATGTCTGGCTGGCGCTCCTCCTTGGTTTGCTCAGCAGCCAACATGCTAAAAAAGCGAGTCTCGAGGATGCTTAGATCGCGTTCTTCTTCGTCCAGCATGGCCTCTAGAGTCTCATAGCTTGACTCTAGAACTTGATAGTCATCTCTCAAGTGCTGCATCGCTTCCAGGCGCGACTGCAAAAGCTCCGTAGGGGCGTTGAATGGCTCTCCTTGACTGATCAGCACAGGCCTGACGACACTCATGAAGGCATTGTCAGCGGCGTCTTTCTCGCGCCTCTTTTCGCGTAGCTCTTTTCTCCTCGACCGCATCTCGACCCTCGTGCCGCTCAATTTAGCCCGCTTTTCTTTCAACTGCTGCCATAGCGTCTCTATTTCGCCGTGCGAAGAATCGTTGGATTGCACGGAACCGTCCAGGTGGGACTCGGTGTCGGTGGGATGCAGAACTGCAGAAATGTCACCCAATCTCGATCGAGATCTTGTTGGACTTCTCGACTTTTCGTATTGCGATACCCATGCTGTGATTTGATTGGCTGCGGATGATCTGCTTTGCGGCGCTGACGGCCCAAAGGCCCGACCAGCAGGCAGCTGTGGCGGAAACTGGCGAGCGTTACGGTAGGCGATGGGGTCCTCATTGGACGAGGACGAAGAGCTCCATGTCTCGTCATCCTCGGGTCTAGTTAGTGAAAAGGTCAGTGCTTCCTCCTCAGAGCCATTGCTCCGCCGCCGACCTGACCGTCCCGAGTCCCGTCTGCCCCGGGAGGGCCACGGCCGTGCGTAATTGCTAGTTGAATAGCCGGAAGCAGACTGGACCAAATGTTGCGTGCCGAGCGACGATCGTGAAACTGGAGAGGATGGAGAAAGGTGTACCTGATCGGCTAGGCTTAGATCCGTTTCGCTTGTTGTTGGAAGACTAGCAAAGTAAGATGGGGATGTTAGAGGAGGCGATGTGAGTGGTGGTGGAGGCGGAGGCGGCGGATGAGGAGGGACACCACGACGTCGAGGTCCGTGGCCATTATCGAGCCTATCCAGTCCGGGAAGTAATGAAAAGGACGGGGATGCCTGAGCCATGCCTGTAATGGGAGGAGACGACGACGGGAGTTGAGGTGGGTTGTGCCGAGATAAACCTGCCGGGCTCGGGTGATGGTCTCGGGCAGCGCCGTTCAGGCTCCTCGGCACAAGTCGACTCGCTCCCCTTGCTCCGCCACGGCCTCTTCCGCGGCCCCATTCCGCGCCTCGCCGAGAAGGCAGAGGAAGGGCAGGGGGGAGGAGAGGAAGAGGTGAGAAGGAGAAGACATCGGCGGCTCTGCTGGGGAGAGGTGTCCGACTGCCAGCCGAGGCAAAGGGGGTCAGCGGTGGGCTGGACACGGCGGGATCAGGCGTGGTGACCCTGCTTGATATCGTCGACGTGTCGCTATGGAACCGCCAGCGATCGCTCTCCCTAAAGTCCTCGTCCTCGTGCGATGAAGGTGCGGCGGCAACAAACGTGACAGGCGTCACGTCCGCAGGGTCGTCCACGTTGCCGCTGATGGGATCGCCCACAGATGGGATGCGTGGGCTGACCCCTTGCTGGCCTTCGGCGGCGTCCATGGGGGCGGCTCAAGGAAGCTGGCAGTGGCTCAACGCTCAGCATTGCCGGTCGCTGATCATCGTTCCGAGTCAATATCATCCAAGGTCGCGGAGGCGTGGCGGTTTGACAGCGGGAAGCGGCGCAGATGCGAGAGTGCCGGATCGATGCCAGACGAGGCTCTGCAGATCTAGAGGCGAGAGGCAGCGGGTCTGGCGCGGCTCCGGTCCGTGCCTCCAGCGAGAATCTGCGTGCGAATGGCGACGGAGCAGGTGCAGTATTAGCTGGAGACGGCGAACGGGATAGGCCAGGCCAGCTTGTTGCCTCGCGGCCACACAGGAGTGAGTGAGGCGGACTGACGAGAGAGTGCCTGATGCCGGGTGTTCCTGTCGTGAAGCGAGACAAACGTAGGCCGCCTGCGTTCATGTTCCGTCTGTGTCCGAGTACAAGTACAGTAACAGCCTACCTAGGTAGATACCTAGGTACCTACCGAACAGCTGCCTTAGCTGCCCGGAGCGCCAGCCAGCCACATGGCCCTGGCGTCTGGTGGCAGCGGTTGACTCAAGCCCCTGTGGCCGCTGGGAGCCAGCACTGGAGCACTGAGGTGTCGACGCCTCCTCCCCGGACCGCCAGAAGCGCTGCAGCGTATCAGCGCACCGCCCACGGCGTCGCACCTGTCCCGCTAGCCCTACAGCGCTGTGGCGCTGTGCGGCCACTAACGACGGTGCTCGCAGCGCTATAGGCGGGCTAGCCACAGCTCCACCGCTCGGGACGGTTGACGCCAGCCAGGTGCTGGGGTAAGAGCGGTTGGGCGGGGCCTTCCGTCCCTAGCGGCGTCAAGCGGCCTGCACCAGCCCCAGGTGGGAATTGTCACTCTACCTCGACATCATCACATCACCCTCGACCCGCATGCGTGAAAATACGACCAGTCCCTTCTCACAGCACGCCGTGCAGCTGGCGACAATGCCCAGATACGAGCGCAGCAAAACCACCTGGTCGTCGCTCGGCGCTGGGGCTCCTGCGGCCGAGCCACCTGACGGGGCCTTGAGCCGAAGGGCTGCAGGACGCTGTGCAGGACGCTGTGCATGGCGGAGATGTGTCGATGGTGGCAAGGGCTGCTTGCGATTGACTCGACTTCAATGCTGTCCTGCATGGCTGACTCGTCACAACGTATGTACTCGCAAACAGCGCAGCTATCGATGTGCTTGGCTTGCACGGCCAGTACGAGTGCGACTATAAACCAAGGCAAGACAGGTTCACGTTGTTGAAGGCAGCGCGCTGACTGAGGCGCTGGCTTGGCCGAGCCGGAGACGCTGGAGGACGAGACAGGAAGAGAGAGTGAGAGAGAGATAAAGAGAGGGACTCAGCTCTATCAAGCTCCTCGCAGACGCACAGCGCAATGGGCACAAGGCCGCACACCACCTCCGAATCGGGGCCGCCTCGACGGGTCTCAGCGATCGTCCCATAGCGCAATGCGACCACTAGAACAACGTCAGGATGCGGGTTGCGCGCAGAAGAGCAGCCCATTAGCCGAAGGGACCCTGGTCTGCGCGCACTCGACGGCCGGCATGCAGCATTGGATTGATTGCACAGTCTCGTTCGTCGCGCTCCTACAGGAGGCATACCAACAGCTGCAGCGACTCCCACGCCACGCCACGCCACGGCCATGGCCATGGCCTTGATCTGCCCGGCGGCGGCAGCTCGAGGCCATGTAGCTGTAGCTAAACAAGCGCCCAGCGATGCATGCCAGATGTCTCCATAATGCTAATCCGCTGCTTTGCTAGCAGCAATCCACTCGCTCGACCGTGAGGCACCACCCAATACAAGTACATGTGCACTCAAGCCAAGCAGGCCCGGGGAGCATTCGGGCCAGGAAGCAAGCGGACGACCCATGGAGGCTCGCGCCAATCTGGGGCCATAGGGACAGGCCCAAACGTTCCCCTCCCGCCCGTCGCTGTTTATCATCTCGCGCTGGAGCTGCCGGGGAGCTGATTTTCCTCTGCCTGCTGCTGCCGTCGCCGCTGCTGCTACTTCTCATACTCGCAATCGTCCTCAAGAGGCCTTGCAGTCTTCATTGCGTCCGGCCTACAGCCCCGTCCCCCTACTCTGCCCCGGCGTGGCCTCCGACAAGAGGTGCCTTTGCGCTGCTGCTCAAGACCATCGGGCGTCCCCCGGTCCTTTGCGCCGTCCAGCACCAGTCGCCGGATGATCTTGTAGCTTGTCCCGCGCTGCTCTGGGCGCAAAATGCCACAATGTACCACGGCTCCAAGTCAAAATCGCATCAATGGGGCAGCTGGTCCGACTGGGTTCTGGACGAGCAGCACCGCCGCTACTATCGCTTTCGCCAGGATTCCGAAGGTGTGAAGATCCCTCCCCCGCGCTTGACAATTTCTCATCACCGCCAACACCTGAGCGTGCCGCTTGCTAGGGAACTACGACTATGACTGGGACCAGCGCGACTCGGTCGCTGCTGCGCATGCCCAGACGCCGCGAGACACCACGATCAACGACATAACGGAGGGCCTCAAGGGCCTCACTACCGACTACGATGGCTCAAGTGCGTTTTACCCGCTGACCGGCCTGTTGCGCGAGGGACGGCTTCCCTAGATGGCGGCGGCCGCGATCGGCAAGCTCATGGCATGATTGGCAGCTGACGCTGGAGGGCTTCGTAGTATCCGAGGAGCATACGCCGAGCTCAAGATCCGGCCGGCCCAAGAGCAAGCACAAGCACCGAACAGGCTCTCGCGACGAGGACTCGGCTCAACAGGCCTACAGAACCTCGACCGCGGATTCTTTGCATGCGGCCCAGGCGGGGCAGTACGAGTACAGGGCGAGTCAATGTAAGCTGCAGCTGCGCCGAAACACCGTCTCAGTCGTTGACAACGAGTCTCATGAACAGACGTCCACGGATCATCCGAAGCGCAGTTTTACCCGCGGTCGACTTCAGGTACTTGGCCAATGGCTCGTGTCCCAAAGGTGGTGAGCATCGTGAGAATGACTGACGAGATTTTGTTGGCGGGGTAGAATCCCAGTCGGCTCCTTCGTATGGCAAAAATGCTCGGTCAGCTGGTGAGTTACCTTGACAATTGCTCAATCAACAATTCTGTTGCTACCCTGTGCTTTCACTACCTTATCTTGAGCAAGGATGCTTTGTCCAATGCTAAAACCCGGAGCCAGACCGACCAATACGCGGGTACGACGAGCGAAGTCACTACGACGAGCGAAAACACAGTCCTGACCAAGACCCCGAAGACGACGAGTTGGCAGACACCATCGCGGCAAGCCAGCAGTACAATTACAATGCATACGCGAATCCTGGGGAGTCGTCAGCTTCGGCTTACGGTTCGGCACTCATCCGTCAAGCCTCGTGCAGCCTGAGACTAACACAATGGCAGCTCAATATGACGAGGACGAAGACGAAGGCCCCCCAACGCCAAAGGCGCAGTCGGGCGCAGGGAGCTACCACATCACGGCTCTCGAGGAGCCATTGGAAGAGCTGGATCCTCGTAGGTCCTCATAGCCATTCTTGCGACGAGCCAGTGGAGCTGATGCTTTGGGACAGGTTACAAAGTTGAGCCGTCCAGCAAGTTTCAGCCCGGCGAGGTGTGTACAAGTCCAGTCTAATAAGCTCGACGTCTTCTGGACAATGAGTCTGCTGACACCGATTCGGAAAGATATTCAAAGTTCATTGGTCAGAGCCGCAAGGGGCCAGTTCTGAAAGCGCCCCCAGCGTGTCAGGCAAGCATGAGATCCAGAACCGATTCGGAACCAAGTTTTTTGTTGGCTTTCGACGCTTTATTGTGATAGCAAATGATCAGGGTCATTGCACTTGCGTGTAAGTGCATCGGGGGCCAAAGTCCATTCTGGTGGTGGAGGTTTTTCTGACCGACAACAGACCGATCCTAACATACGGCGGCAAGGGCTGCAAGAAGAAAGGTGTCAAGGCTGACAAACACGGCATCATCTATGAGCGCGGCAGCAAGCCGCGACTGCTTGACAAGGAGCCAAAGCTAGGATTCCCTCCCGTGAGAGTTGAGATGAAGGAGGAGGGTGAGAAGCTGTCCAAAGAGTCCCGCGTCAACTACTCCAAGCTGGTGACGGTTGAACACAACGTCAAGGTGTTTTTCATTGGGTCAATTGTGTACAATGACTGGGACCTCGTGAGCGATGCCGTCAACCACTGCTGGAACAAGAAGAACCATCAGAAGCAGCGGCATCGATAGGAGCGCGGGGGAGGATTGACACATGGCCCGCACAGACACGTTTTATATCATTTTTCACAAGCGGCTGCGCATACGAGCGCGTCGCATTCGATGGGCTGCCTTGCTACCGCAGCGCACCCATCCACAAAATACGTTCCTTGGGAATGAATCCCACGATGCCATGGTTCCTGCAAAAATTGTGTTTTGGCATCTTTTGAGCTGAAAGATGCACGACATCCGAGTTACCTTTAGGGTACAGTGTGTGCGATCACAGTTGGCGAGCACTACTTCTCAGCTTCTCAGAGACTTTGTACTGTTCGAGCCATGGAGGGTTGGGTGGAAGGGTAGAGTTTCAGCCGCGTTACGAGGGCCAGATGGCGTACATTGCATTGGTCCATGTGGTGGAAACAGTACACAATATTGCTCGGCTAAAGCTCATGAGGATGCATGATTTCTCCTTTTGACCTCATCTATGTCGACTATGTTTATGACATGCTGGTGTACCTCCCATCTTCCTACCTAGTATGCGTTCTTGTATAGTCTTAGTGCGTATTCTATAGGCTTGCTGTTGATCCTATGGTGTGAAGGAGGAGGCATTTTATGAAATGGATTATGATATCTTAGCATTGCTACAAACAACCATCTTCGTCCCAATGAGGCACCGCGTAGAGGGATGTGATGCTAAGGTGCCTCCCTCTAGACAGGGAATATAATGAGATGAAATGATGCTACCACACGATGCCAGGCGATCTGTGCTAGACCAGAGCAAAAGAGGATCGGCAGCTCAGCTCAGGCACCGCAGTACAGATCGTGGGTAGCAAGCTTTTTATGACAGAAAGGGGTCAAGCAGCAGGATGGAGAGTCTTGAAGGCTGCTGTATTTCCTTTATATACAAACGTGGAACTGTGATGCAGGAGACCATGACAACTGTGCTATGATATTGTGAGAGAGCATGGCAGAGCTCAAGGTAGGTACGTAGGGTAGTCACTGCCTAGGTCCTAGGTATTTCACAAATCGACATTCCAGATACCAAACTGTGTCAAGGGTATTTCCTCGTTCAAGTCAAGCGGGACAAGGGCATATCAATATGTCCGTACTAGGTAGGTACTAGCAACCATATCAATATCCACAACTTCAGCTTGATCATTTCCATGGCTCAGACAATGTTAAACCTTTGCAATCTCGATTCTTAGGCTGACTCGTCCTACATACCTAAATACCTAGGTATCTAAGCACAAAAAAGTTCTGACAGATCTCCGAGTAGCGTCCATCAATCCCGTCCATCCCTCTCTCAAATCCAACCATCATCACCTTATAAGCAATACCTATTCCCCCATCATCCAAAGAAAAAACATCACCAAATCCTTCACAACCCCAGAATTCTACGGGCGGACAACCCTCCAGCCCCCGGCAGACCCTCCCGTTGACAAATCCAGAGGGTACACAGAGATGGCGCCCCCAAAGAAAAACTCCGTGCCTCGGCATCTCTCCCCCGCAAAAGTTCTCCATCGGGCACCAAGTGCAAGTACCTCCGCCGCCAAACTTCCTAGTAAATGTACTTTAGACCCCCCCCTTGTTTGGGGAATGGTGCGTTCGAGGTGGTCCGCCCACTTTTTGGGTCCCATCGTATACACCGAGGATCTTGGGGGATTAGACGCGCATTGAAAAAGGGCCTTGATTCCTCATTGTTCCAACGTACCTCTAATACCTTGTTTCATATGAAGGATTGACTTGTATCGATCACCTATAATCTTCTGCGTCGTTTCTTTCTATTGCTGTTTCCTTCTCTTGCATCGCATCCAGCGTAATTTGACCGGCTGTGACTACACCTACCTTACCTCCTCTTGACTGAAAAACGCACACAATCTTCATCTTGCATAGGTGGAAGAAAAGTCGGCCTCAACCCATCGCCAACATGTCCGCCCAGATCGAAGCCACCCTCCACGACTTCCCCTCCCTCTTCTCCCTCAAGGGCAAAATCGCCGTCGTAACAGGCGGCTCCCGCGGCCTCGGCCTCCACGCAGCCTCAGCGTACATACATTCCCCCCCTAAATCAGCTCCAGTTCTCAAAAGTCAATCAGCTAACAATAACCCTCCCCTCCCCAAAGATTCATGCAAGCCGGCTGCTCCAAGGTCTTCATCTCGTCCCGCAAAGCAGCCGCCTGCGAAGAAGCATGCAAGGTCCTCAACGCGCTGCCCAACCTGTCGCCCGGCGCCACGGCCATCCCCGTGCCCGCCGACTCGGCCACCATGGACGGCGTCAGGAGCCTCCTGGCGCAGGTCAAGCAGCACACCGACGCCGTGGACATACTCTTTGCCAACGCGGGCGCGACCTGGGGCGAGGCCTTTGACACGCACCCGGACCAGGCCTTTGCGAAAGTCATGGACCTCAACGTAAAGGCCGTCTTCAACACCATCCGCGAGTTCGCGCCGCTGCTGCAGAAGAGGGCGTCGCTCGAGGACCCCAGCCGCGTGCTCATCACGTCGAGCGTGGCCGGCCTCGGCGTCGGCACCCTGGGCAAGCAGGGCACCTACGGCTACTCGGCCAGCAAGGCCGCCGTGCTGCACCTGGGCCGGAACCTGGCGCTGGAGCTGGGCCCCCGCGGCATCACGGTCAACTCCATCTGCCCGGGCTTCTTCCCGAGCAAGATGGCAAACGGGCTGCTGGCCATGTCGGGCGGCGCGGACAAGATTGCAAAGGCGAACCCGATGCGGAGGCTGGGCAGGCCCGAGGACATTGCGGGCGCCGTGGTCTATCTGACGAGTCGCGCTGGCTCGCATGTCAATGGGGAGGCGATTGCGATTGATGGCGGCGCGCTGTGGTCGCGTGGGGAGATGTTGGTTGAGGAGCAGTCGAAGCTGTAGTTTGTCGGTATGAAATAGTTTGTGGGAGGTGATGGGTTTGGAGTTTTGCAGAGGTCTGTATGATAGACGTCATGATACCGCTTGAATAAACCGCCATTTTTTTTTTCAAGTTACCCCTTTTTGCTTCCATAATAACGGAGCGGACATCGGCATGATTTTTCACACAGCACACTGACAGACTGATTTTTCATCATGTATTCTCTCGTCATACTTTGTCTGTTGAACCGCTCGCTTCCTTGTCCACCGGCGGCTTGCGGGCCACCCACGTCGTCACATTGTACACCGTCTGCAACATGCTATCCATGTCCTGAATGTACGGCGCCCTGACGCCCATCTCCATCGACTCTACCACAAAGCCCAGCTTCTCCACCAGCGCCATGACCTCGTCGTTGCTCAGCTCAAAGCTGCCGGGATCAGCAATGCCCGACGAGTTGTTAAAGTCATGCTCCCCGTCTCCATCGTCATCGTGCCCGTGATTGCCCGGCGCATTGTTTTCAAAATGCCACAGCAAGGGGCCGACGTTGATGAGCACGCCGCCGGGCCGGAGGCAGTGGAAGATGACCTCGAGGTACCGAATGAGGTTGGGCGCCGTATCGAGGAAGAAGACGCTGGCGACGGCGTCGTACGACTCCTTGTGCTCATCATCACCATAGAGACAGAGGAAGTCGGCGGCGCACATGGACATGGAGCCGACGTTGGGGGCGTTGATCAGGGCGGTGCCCGGGTGGATGTCGGGCACGGCGTAGCTCCGGAGGTGGTTCTCTCGCGTCTTGTGGTTGGAGAATGTGTGGATCCAGGGGTAGATGGTGTACTGCTCGGCGCTTTCGCACTCGTTGAGGATGAAGGACGATGCCAACAGCTGGTGGTAGGAGATTTCGTTGCCCTCCGCCTCGTAGCCAGCCCGGCATAGTTCAAAGACCAGCCTTCCCAGTCCTGCGCCGGGGACCAGCACTTTCAAGCGCTCGCCCTCCGGGGCTTTTGCCCTCTCCTGTTCAAGGGCCTTCATCACTGGGCCGTAGGACGCGGCCCGTTCTTCTGCGCCGGCGGCCGTCCAGTCGCGGTAGAACTGGCGGAGAGTGCTCCTCGCCTTGTCAATGTCTGCATGCTTGGCTACCCCCGCCCATTCATGCGGCATGACTGGTTGGCCGTGATCTGACGAAGCGGGATCGAGGGCATTGAAGGACACCAGCCCCGACTTGAGAATGGCTCGAGCCAGAGTGGCGTTTGTGTCGATAGCCTCATCGACCTTTTCCAGCGTGTCAAGGAAGTTGAAGGGGGGCGCGGCGAGGAGCTTCCAATGGGCCTGGGGCAGGGCATAGAAGGACCGGCGACGAAGATGAGTGACGTTGAAGTGGGCGACTTTGGCGTATTGTCTGGGGAGGTGGTGTCAGTCGAGGCGGTGTCATTGCTGTCTTGTCTGCACAAGTGGTGATGAGATGAGATAAGATGAGACATGGGGAATGGTCAAGGTAAGCTCTTCATGACGAAACCCTCGAGAAGCATCACAAGGCAATCAACTCGACATCAACACATGATGACGACAGACGATACGCAAACACACACTCACGCAAACGAGTCCAGCGCGCAAAAGATGACCCGGATCTCTTCAGGGTCGTCCATGCCGCCATCTACACTGGTCCATGCGCTCTCCTCGGCCACAGCCAAAGAAGCCCCGCCGTCGTGATCCATCAAAATCTCAGCCTTTGCTTTTCTTCTTAACGGCGATAACCTGCAACCATGGTGGTAAGAGGGACGTTTTGCTGAGTATAAAAAGAAGAAGAATAAGGAGGAGAAGAAAAGAGAGGGAGGGGACAGGCCGTGATTATCAGACAGTCAAGGTAGTTCCGTCTTATCACGCAAGAACTCTCGTTCTCTTTTTTTATGCTTTTTATTTTTTCCGGGCCGCCGCATTCGGGTCCCGTCTTTTTTTTTCAATGGATGGAGATTGCGGCCGCGTCTGTTGTTAGTACCTAGTGGGGGAGATGGCAATATGGCGTGGTTGTTCGTTTAGTATTATCTCTTTACCTAGGTACCTACTAGTATGTTGTCATTTTCTTGGAGCTGCGCCATTAGCATTCAGTCAGCGAGCTTTCTACAGTCACAAGAGTCACTCTCACCGGAAGCGAATCATGGGATTTCACTCCCTCCCATAACTGCTCTCGAGATACCTGCTATTCCATCAAACATCTCTCAAACATCTTCTTTTTCTGCAATCTCGATCGTCATGGCAGCCGAATCAAGCGACGTGGTGCAGGTCTCCATTCCGCTGCCGCGGTCGTTGGATACCCGCGTTTTCATCCGCGTGGCAACCCAGGCCAAGGCGATTCTCCTCTCTCTCACCACGGCGTCTCACGAGGAGTCGTCTTCGCTGAGGCCCATGGGCTCTTTTGTCTATGCACTCCCCGACGTAAGCCTTAGGTCACTGTCGAGAGTGGCAGCTTGAGAACGTTGAGGTTTTGTCAACTGACTTCTTGAACCAGAGATTCGACCAGCAGCAAGCAATCGCCACTACGCTCTTCTCCGCAGAGTCATCTCTAGAGTTTACGACCCGCGTTGCAAAGCTCGTCGCCCGCAAGACGCAGCTGCCCGTGTATGTGACAAACTCCATCAGTCTCGAGAGCATGGGCATGGGCGGCACCGTTGAGGAGGAGATGGAGGCGTTCAAGGGCGTGGCCGAGGCGATCCTGAGCACCCTTCCCAAGAACGTGGTGCCCAGCTGAGCAGCGTGAGAGAGTGCGGTAGTCTATGAAGCGAACCCAGGCCTCTGCACCGCCACGGCCTATATTCTGGCATGCACATGTTGGGAAAGCAGGCAAGGCAGGTCCATGACGGGACGGCTTGTGTTGCCTATCAAGAGACGGGCCAAGCTTTGCAGCATCATCGCACGCTTGCCGCATCCCTGCTGACGGGCTTGAGGAAGCCTTCCAGAAGAAGGGATCTGCATCGGCGCATCAACTAACCACGTATGAGAGGTTGACGCTGAGCCCATTGGACCAGGCAGATCGGAGAATTTTGAACATTCAAGGGGGTTACGGCTACAATGTTTGCAACTCGATGGCCTCTCTACTGGAACACATAATACTACAGAATTACAGGGAAAAGCAAGAGGCACTGGAATGAGATTCTCACCGTGAGACGACGCTCATCTCATCGGCGCTGATGACACGATGGCGGCAAGCAAGCCTCAATGAGGGCGCTTGTACAGCTACCGGTGCAGGCAAGCAGCTGCAGTAGTGGCTGCAAGTACCGAGGCACCACCTATCACATCACAACGGCGGCACTTGAGGAGGACCTACATAGTACCCAGTTGTATGGAGCAGTTGATTGGCGTCGGAGCTTCACCCGTCTTATCAATCAGTCTCCTCTATCAGCGGCGATGCCGGTACTGCATAGTATTTTATGTTGACAAAGGTGGTGCTCTGCTGTGTCTTTGCTGAGCATCTGAAGAACGGACAGGCAACAGAAGGCGGCCTTACCTTAGGTTTTCACTGCCTAATCTCACTGTTTGTTCACCAAGGTACCCAGTAGGTATTTTATGCCTTGCCCGAGATTCAAAGGGAATCACAATCGCCCTCAATACCTGGAGCAAACCATTGTCTTGAAATCTAACAGGTACTTACCTATCAAGAGTGCCATCACCTGACTCTTACTGTGCATCATCTCAAACAAACAATTTTTTTTTTTCGGGCTTTCCCCCCCAAAGGCATTCCCGGGTTATCGTTATCGCACCCCGCTACGCAATTTGGCCGCCCAAAAAAAACAGGTGGGTTTGCTCCCCGCCAAATCAGACCAGTTCAATCGAGGGCGCACAAAGGTTTGGCGCATCGTCTCGACTCTCTTCCGGCCACGACGAGCATCCCGCCCAGTTTGCCTGCTCTGCCCTGCTGCAGCCATTCGAGCCGCCTCTGACGCCTCTTGAGCGCCGTGCTCGCCGATTCACAGCCTCGATTCCCCGTGACGTCGCCTCGGCAGCCTCTCGAGTCTCGGGCCTCGCCGCCAGAGGAACCACCCCCCACAGCTGCTCCCGGCTCTCGACATCCAGGGGGCCCTTTTGTGCTGCTTCCTTGCTCCTGTACGCCCTGTTGCTGCGCCAGAGGAATCCGCTGCCATCACTAACTCGCTTTGCCTCTGCAAGTTCTGCAGCCGCTGCTTCATGTCCTAGGGCATCTTGCTCTGCACTCAGCAAGCACCCACACCGAAAGCGCATCGCATTGCTCCTCTCGCGCGTGGCCAACCGCTGCCACCACCACCACCACCACCACCCACCATGGCCTGGCAACCCAACCCGGAGTCCTTGAACCAGCTTGCGGCATGTCTCAAGGACTCCCTCAGCGGGTTCGACAAGACGGCCCAGAAACAGGCTGAGCTGGTCAGTTACCCAACCCAAGACTTGTCACCGTTCGTGCGTAATGCGTGTGCTCTGGAAATTGTCACTGACCGATGCCATCGAGCAAGTAGATGCTTCAACAAGCGAAAGCCTCGCCTGATATCAACAACTATCTAGCCTATCTCCTGTCCAGCTCACAGCCCCCGGAGGGCCTGCAAGTCAACGAAAAGGACTATCACCTCGTCAGGTCGGCTGCCGGTGTCATGCTCAAGAACAATGTCAAGTCAGACTGGAAGTCCATCCCGGAGGCGAGCCTGCAGCTCATCAAGCTCGCCGTTCCCATGGGTTTGCAAGATAAGAACTCGCAGATTCGAAACTTGGCCGGAAACATCGCTACGGAAGTGATTAGGAGAGGCGGCCTGATGGGCTGGCCCGACCTGCTGCCCCAGCTCCTCGAAATGATTGGCAACTCGACCGGCCAATTCTCCAACGAAGCGCAAGAAGGCGCCATGTCGGCCATGACCAAGATTTGCGAGGACAACTTTAAGATGTTGACCAAAGAGGTCAATGGCCAGCGACCGTTGAACCATGTCCTCCCCCAGCTCATTGCCGCGACCAAGAGCCCCCTGTCGAAAGTCCGAGTCGGAGCGCTGACGGCCATCAACGTCTTCACCCCGAGGGCATCGCAGGCCATGATGAACAACATTGACGACCTGCTGCAGCACCTCTTCGTTCTCTCAGCAGACGAAAACACCGAGGTGCGCCGGCAGGTGTGCCGGGCTTTTGTCCACCTGGTCGAGACGCGGCCGGACAAGCTGCAGCCACACATCGGCGGCTTGGTGGACTACCTCATAACCCAGCAGAAGAGCGACGACGAAGACCTTGCCTGCGAGGCCGCCGAATTCTGGCTGGCCATTGGCGAGCACGACGACCTGTGGAACGCCCTGCGACCGTATCTCAACAAGATCATCCCCGTTTTGCTCCACTGCATGGTATACAGCGGAGAGGATATTGCCCTTCTCGGCGGGCTTTCGGACGACGAGGATGAGGAGGACCGAGAGGAGGATATCCGGCCAGCTTTTGCCAAGAAATCCTCGGCGAGGACTGCCAACGGCGAAGGGAACCTCTCGGCCGATGCCAACCCGAACGGAGGCGCTTCCCGCATGGACGAAGGGCTGGAGGAAGGCGAACTCGACGATCTCGATGACGGAGACGACGACGAGAACCCCGACGAGAGATGGACCGTCCGAAAGTGCTCAGCAGCTGCCCTCGACGTTTTCGCCCGCGACTTTGGCGGGCCCGTCTTCGAAGCCATCTTCCCGTACCTCTCGCAGAATCTCAAGCACGACGAGTGGCCCTACCGAGAGGCTGCCGTCCTGGCACTCGGTGCTGTGGCTGACGGCTGCATGGACGCCGTCACGCCTCACCTTCCCGAGCTGGTGCCGTACCTGATTTCGCTCCTCGAGGATCAGGAGCCGGTTGTCAGGCAAATCACCTGTTGGGCATTGGGACGATACTCGTCTTGGGCAGCCAATCTCAGCGACCAGGCTCAAAGGGAACAATTCTTCCTACCAATGATGGACGGCATTCTCCGCAAGATGCTGGACAAGAACAAAAAGGTTCAGGAGGCGGGCGCCTCGGCGTTTGCGAACCTGGAGGAAAAGGCCGGCAAGAAGCTCGAGCCCTACTGCGGCCCCATTATCCAGCAATTCGTCAAGTGTTTCGCCAAGTACAAGGACCGCAACATGTACATCCTCTACGACTGTGTCCAGACGCTAGCCGAGCGCCTGGGTCCCTTTATCGCCCGCCCTGAGCTCGTGAACCAGTTGATGCCGGCGCTGACGGAGCGATACAACACCGTCTCGGACCAGTCCCGCGAACTGTTCCCGCTGCTCGAATGTCTCTCTTACGTTGCCTTGGCTCTTGGCCAAGCCTTTACTCCTTACGCGCCCCCCATTTTCTTGCGCTGCATCAACATTATCCATGCGAACCTGGAACAGGGCATCATGGCGACGACAGATCATGCCCTGGACCAGCCTGACAAGGATTTCCTGATCACGAGTCTCGATCTCCTTAGTGCCATCATCCAAGCGCTCGAGGACGACAAGTCGGCAGAGCTCGTCAAGAGCTCGCCTCATCCCTTCTTCGAGCTCCTTGGCTTTTGCATGGAAGACCCTACGGACGAGGTGCGGCAGTCCGCGTACGCACTGCTGGGCGACTGCGCCAAGTATGTCTTCCCTGAGCTTCAGCCGTACGTGCCGACGATCCTGCCCATCTTGTTGAAGCAGCTCGACATCGATAGCATCCTTGACGAGGAGATTGAGAGCGGATTCGGCGTCATCAACAACGCCTGCTGGTCGGCCGGCGAGATTAGCATGCAGCACCTCAAGGGAATGCAGCCCTGGGTGCCCGAGTTGCTCCAGCGCCTCGTCGAGATCATGACCAACCCCGGCGTGCCAAAGGGACTCGTCGAGAATGCCGCCATTGCCCTTGGACGTCTTGGCCTCGGCAACGCCGAGCAGCTGGCGCCAGCACTTCCCAAGTTTGCGGGCGAGTTCTTGGCGGCGATGCAGGAGGTTGACCCTACGGAGGAAAAGGCCACCGCATTTAAGGGATTCACAATGGTCGTTGGGCAGAACCCGCAGGCACTCGAGAAGGTCCTGCTGGAGTTTTTTGTCTCCATTGCCCGGTATCAAGACATGAACTTGAGGAACCCGATCAAGCAAGAGCTTCACGAAGTGTTCCAAAATGTAAGTCCAAGCATCCTGTATTCATCCACTCGTCCTCACCCGGATGCTAACAATCTTTGTGCAAGGTTCTCAACGTCTACAAGCAACTCATCCCACAGTTTGACGACTTTGTCAACCGGCTGCAGCCGCAAGACCAGCAGGCGCTGAAGACCATCTACGCGATATGAGAGCGGAGCAAACCTTGCGCGGATTGCGTGGCACAGACGTGCTGGGAGAAGATGAAAGGCCAAGCAGCGCTGGACGCAGGTTGGGACAGCTTTGGAACGCTGAATTCTGACGAAGCTGACGTGCAGAGGTTACTGTACTGTAACCCTGGCTCAGTGGAAACGACTGTAATGGACATGTTTTAAGAAAGAAATAAAGAAACGGAACAAAGGAAAAAAGCTCTAGCGATCTTTTGGCTGCCCAGCGAGTCCATGAAATGGGAGGGGGCCGCATGTATTGGATCTGATTTGCTCAAGGGACGCGGGGGGGGGGGGGGGGGGGGGGGGGGGGTTGATGCTGAGGATGCTCTGCAAAGTGCTACTGGGACAAGACGAGGCGAGATACCTTTGAAGAAATATGGTGACGAGCAAAGAAGGATGAACAAAGGGGAGGAAAATAAGACTATGCATGGCGGAGGAACTATGGGAGACAAGGTGTC